TCTGCTCCTGCTCTCTCCTCTGAGGTCACATCTGGAACAAGGAGAGGGAGGGACAGAGAGATGGAGGGAGGGGGAGAGGCAGAGAGAGGCAGAAGGACAGACAGGGAGGAAGGAAGGAGCCAAGTAAAAGACTTCATCTGTTCTGACATTTTTATAAAATACATTTTTATTGATTTCAGAGAGAAGAGGGAGAGGGAGAGAAGCATCAATGATGTGAGAGAATCATTGATTGGCTGCTTCCTGAACACCCCACACTGGGGATTGAGCCCACAGCGTAGGCAGGTGCCCTGAAACAGGAATCAAACAGTAACTAGGTTGACACTCAACCACTGGGCCATACCGGCTGGGCTGCTCTGACACTTTTAAGCGCTCCTGCACTGAGGAAGAACCACGGACTGTCCTTGGGCGAGGAGCGCACCAGGCAGTGGGGAGCACGGGATCGGAGACCCAGAGCCAAGCCTGGCGGAGGGGCGGTCTGCTCCGGGGCAGGTCACGGTGCATTTCTTGCCCCCGGAGCATTGGGGCAGCCGGGATGCGACTTTGGCAGTGACAGCCAGGGAGGATGAAGTCTCCCTGACACCATCTGGTTCTCCAGAGTCCGGGAACGGGCTGGCCTTGGTGCTGGGCACTCGGGGAGGCGGGAGGAGCTGGGCTGGGCAGAGACCCTGGCACCGGGAATCCCACTTGCAGAGGGGGCCGGGCAGCCTCAGAAACCCCGAAGGAGCTGAGAGGTGGACACTGAGTCTGACCTTCACTGAGTGTGACATGGGCAAGGTCAGCCCCGGGCCTCTGTGCTCAGGCCTTTTTGTCACTTCCCTGTCCACGCCAGGCCCCTCCTGCCATTAGGGTCTTCGTTGTTCAGACATCCTGCCCACCTGGGGAAGGCCAGGAGGACGTGAGAAAATGTACAGTCTTTTGAGTGTTTAATGGGTGGCAGACCCTCCCTTGTCTCTTGCAGGTTAAGCAGATAAAAGAGGGAGGGAGGTGTTCCTTCCCATTTTACAGATGAGGAAACTGAGTCTCGGGAAAGATGGCTTTTTTCCCTAAACTCCTACAGCAAGCAGGGGACCCAGCCTTCCATGTCTCTCCAAGCCTGTAATCTTATCCCCGAATCACCCATCTCTCTGGCAGGCAGCCTGCAGGAGAACTTGGGAGACAGGGGCTGTCACACAAGGGGCCACCAGCGCTCAGTGTCTGCTACCCAAGGACACAGCCGCCAGGGCTCCATTTCCCCAAGTTCCTGAGATAAGTTCTGAGTCGTTCAGTGTTGGATGCCACTGGTGCTGCTGGCAGGAACCTTTGTTGAGAATGTGCTCGCCACAGGGCTGTGTGTGCCAGGCGCTGTCCCAGGCACGGGGAAGACCCCGGTGAACAAAAATAACGCTCCTCTCCTCAGGGAGCTGGCATTCCAGCGAGGGGGCAGGACAGCAAGCAGAGTGAGTGCCTGAGGCATCAGGTGGGAAGGCCCACGGGAAAGAGAAAGCACGAGGGCTGGGTGAGGGAGGACAGGAAGAGCCGGGGCAGGGAGTGGGCATGGGGTACACTTTTTCAGGATGGTCAGGGTAGGCCTTCTGGAGGAGTCTTTGAGCAAAGACTTGAGGGTTGAGTGGACCCTGTCTGCGGAGGAGTTCTAGGCAGAGGGCATAGCCGAGGCAGAGGCCTTGGGGACAAGGGGAGGACTTGGCGGGTACTCTGACCCAGGAGCCCTGAGGGGCTGAGCCCAGGAGACACACTGACTTCCCTTTGGAAAGAGTCAGTCTGGCAGCTGTGCCGGAAGTGGACCACAGCGAGGCGTGGGGAGGGAGGGAGGGAGATGGTTAGGCTAGTGCCGTCATCCAGGGACAGATGGGGGGGTTAGGCTGGGGTGAGACATGGTGAGTCTGGGCATTGCCAAGGCAAAGCCAGCAGAGTGGATGGAGGGGAGGTGGCATGCGAGAGGAGACCAAGGATGACTCCCAGGCTCTTGGCCTGAATAACCGGAAGGACATGGATGGTCAGGAACCGAGATGCGGACGACGCTGAGGAAGGAGTGTGGAGAGGGTGGTGGCTAGCTCAGGCAGGGACGTGCTGGGCGTGGGTGCAAGGGGCAGAGGCCACCAAGCTCCCACTACAGAGGCATTTGTCGGCCACGCCCTGGGGTGCTGCAGGGCTGCAAGGCGAGGAGCGGAAGGCAGGCCTGCTCTTCTGGATGGTGGTGCTGTGTGGTTCCCGGGGTCAGACGGGAGTGCTCTCCCCCGCTCGGCAGTCACGCAGGGTCTCATCGACTTCTCCTTCTCCTCTCCTCCTTCTCTGTGCCAGCCGTTTCTCCCGCTCCCGACCTGCTTCCTCTCATCCCCATTGTGTGTGCGAATCTCTAGTGACAGCTCGGTGATGCCAGGGAGAGAGTTATTTTTTTATGCAAACGTACCTGAATTTCATAGTTCCAAGCGTCTGTTTTCTTGGGAGAGTACCCTTATTCCACCAACATTGCCAAAGCCCCAATTTTTTTTTTTTTAAGACTCCTATGAACATCCCTTTAGAAGTCAGTGAACAAGCCAAACAAGACAACCTGTTGCTTCTATATAGTTTCTGTTGCTTCTTGTCTGTTGGTTATAACGAAGGGTGTGCTTCCGCTCGGTCACCAGCTTCCATCACCAGACTTAGCTCCCGATCACCACTGACCATTTCAAAAGATCAAACCCACTCCAGACTGTGTCTCTTGAAAAGAGGGCCCCTGGGCAATGGTGGCTCCTGGGAGAGAGACAGTCCAGGGGAGCTGGACTCCTGCCACTGCTCTCCTCCACCCCCCTGCTCAAGCTGCCCTCTCCGCCCCCCACTCCCCAGGTTTCGCTCTGGATTCCGGATCGCTTTCCGCTGCTGCCCCTGGGTCACGCCCACCGAGGAGGACAAGATGGAGCTGACTCACACGCGCTCCCTCTCCAGGCGGGTCAACAGGTGCCACACTAAAGAGACCTTGTTCATCAGTGGGGACGTGGCCCCATCTGAGGCTGCCAGTGGGCAGGCGGGGGGTCCCCAAGAGGGGGTGCTCACTGAATTCTGAAGCCTCGTGGCTGGCTGCGGGGTGAGGCCGACACCCTCCGAGAAGCAGCGGGTCAAGGGAGCAGCTCTGAAAACTTGGCCCCTGCCTCACCCTCCGATTCGTGGATGGAAAAACAAGGAGACTTTAAGGGGACCCAGCCTTCCCTCTCAGACGGGCTTCAGAGGACCCCATAGGAATCAACAAAGACAGTCTGAGCTAGCATGGCTAACCCAGGAGTTGCCAGCTCAGACACCTTCCGGGGCATAAACATAATGTGTAAAGTGGACCCAGTACAAAAGGAAAGAGAACTGCCAATATGGTGATAAAAGGCCATTGGTTTCCAGTGCTGGGTACTAGGGAGTAGTGGGGACTGTGGCAAAGGAGAGGACAGAGGTATCCGAAGAGGACAGCAGCTGGTCAGCTCTGGGCGAGCGCTGCCATGTGGTCATGGGAGCTCACTGCTGCCAGATCTTCTCAATCCGGGGAAGCCAGAAATCCAAATGGGTGCGACCTCCGGACTTGCCGCATGTGGCTCTCATTTCTATAGATGTCAGGTAAACAGAACAAAGCACCCCTGCGGGCAGCACCCAAGACCCTGATCCTCCCCCGGCGAAAACAGGGTAAGAAGATTCTTATCTTGCAAAGCGTCACCCATGAGTCAGCCCGTGGGCCCCTTTGCCTCGGCATCTAAGAACGAGGACCCAGCCCCGGAGAGATGGTGAGGGAGTCAAAGGAATCGAAAATAGGGAAGAAAACAAAAGGCAAAGGGAGCCCCAGCTGTGCTGCCTCAATCTGACACTCAGCCCAGCCCTGGACCGTGTGCTGTGAGGATGGCGGCAGTGGTGCCTCTGAACCACCAGGCGGAGCGCAGGTGAAGCGCACCAGGGGCAGCGGCCATGGTTTTTGTTACCCGCAGGCCGGCCGGCCGTTGTCCACGAACGGCGCCTGCTGTCAGCAACACCGCTCTCCCCCTCCCTTCCACACCAAGAGGGCGGGACTCTCCCCCTCCCTTCCACACCAAGAGGGTGGCACTCTCCCCCTCCCTTCCACACCAAGAGGGTGGCACTCTCCCCCTCCCTTCCACACCAAGAGGGTGGCGGCCAGAAGCCACCAGCCGCCCCGACGCCCAGGCAGCTCCCGACTCATGAACGTGACCTTCACCTCCATCCTCCCCCTGGCCCGAGCGTCCACAGAAATCCCCCCCCCCCCCCCGTCTGGTTTTCGCCGCACCCACGCCCGCCCTCCCCGGCCCCAGGCCGCCAAGCAGCACGCCGGTCTCTGAATTGGTACAAAGTTTACTAGGTCGTACGACATGGCTCACAGAAGCGATGGGGAGTTCCAAGGAGGGCACTGTTTGGTTGGTTCCTTTTACACGGGAGACAAAGACACGTTGCCACAGGACCGCCCACCTCCCCCACTCCCCCACCCCAAGACAGAATGCAAGACAGTCACCACGTGGCCCACAGACACAGCCCAGTGGCACGGACACGCCGGACGGGGACCGGGGAGGCCAGGCAGCAGCGGGCGCCGGGACGGGAGGCGGCGATGGGCGCCCCCGGGCAGTGTCTGCTGGTGATAATACATCTCACACGGGGGGAGGGGCGGGGGGGGGAGGGCTTGTCCCCACAGACGGGGCCGCGGACGCCCAGGAGGCCTGTCGGACGGTGTGACGTGTCGTCTCAGGCCAATAAATAATGTCGGGCGAACACATAAATTAGAACGACACTTCACACGTGGGGGGTCGGGCGGCCAGGGTGAAATCAACTCATGCAGGGGGTGGGGGGCAGGCGAGGAGGGCCCGGGTGAGAGGTATGATCAGCGGCACACACGCCGTTCCGTACCCTGCGCCGGTGGCCGGCCCGCTCTCCTCCTGCGGTGGCCGTGGCGGCTCCCAGCCCCGCGCACGGGGAGGTGGGGGGTCGCCGCTCGCTCGGAGAGAGGAAGTGAGTGTCGGAAGGGCCGCGGGCTGGGGCCCGGGCTCTTAGCTGCTTTTCTCCTCCCGGAGCCGGACGCCCACGGCTGTGATGAGGGCGGCCCCCTTGCCGCTGCCGTCCTCGGACAGGAGGAAGGACACGTTGCACTTCGGCGACAGCTCCTTCACGGTCTGGTGCATGATTCTGGAGAAGCTGAACCAGAGGAGACACGGGCAGGTAGGGTCAGAGGAAGAGATGCAGACACCCTCCCCCCCCCTTGAAGATGCTGCAGGACCCTAATAAGGAGGAGGGCACCCAGGACGGGAGGGGCTGCTCAGCAGCGGCTGTGGCTTATTGAGAATGGCGGGTGGGTCTACAGCCAATCCTGTCGTTACAATTCCCAGCTGAGAACCCAAAACCAAACGACTCTGTACAGCACAGGAGGGCCAGGGCGTGAGGAATCCACTGAGACAGCCTGTCCTCCAGGACACACCTCACTTCCACAGCAAGAAGGTGGCAGCCAGAAACCACCTTCGGAGTCAACGAAGACAGTTCTGAGCTAACACGTCTTTTAAACCAAGAGCTGCGAGGGCCTCCACGGGCATGACATCATCTGCCCTCTGACCTCCAGCCCATCGCCAGCAACAGCCCAGCGCCAGAGGCCACCCGTGGGAGGCCTGCTGGTGAAGGATAATCTCTGGATGAGAGGCGACTCAAGGCTCTTGCATTTTTTTGTTGAAAATGAGACAGACCAGGCTGAGGATGCTCAGGACACCAGGGCTCGCAGAGGTAACACGGACTGCCCTTTGCTGAACACCATACACTTCACGGACATAAAACTTCCAGGCCTGCCGGCAGCCATTATCCCACGAGGACGAGGAGACGTGGCAAGCCTGAGCTTCCACGTGGTGGTGCCAGGACTAAACCCAGGTGTGTGTGGCTCCAAAGCCTGGCTCTAACCACACCTGGGCACCACCCCAGGGGAGGAAGGGATAGCTATGAAAGTGGAGAGACGGGTCCATCCCCAGCCATGGCCACGAGGTAATGCCTAGGAGGAGTTGGATAACACGGTTTTTAAGGAGGGTGACGGTATGGCCTGGTTTACCTGGGAGGGTCCCGGTGTCATTCCTAATAGCACTCTCCTCGCGACAAAAGTACCGAAGTTCAGACAGTAAATCGTATGGTCACTACTCAGAAGAGCCAAGTTATGGGACATGCTCGGCACAGAGAGCAGAGGAGGTGTCGGACATGAGACTGAAAGAAGTTCCTCCCCAGCCACCTCCCTGCTACAAGCCCAGAGCCAACGCTGCCCCCATGTCTCCTGACAAGCTCTGATTTCGCAGATCAACAAGACAATGAGCCCCTCTCCCCCTTTCCACACTCACTCTCCCCACTGACCCAATAGCCTCCTGGCCCGGCTGCAGCTAACCAGGCTGACAGGGAGGCCCACACCCCTCTCCCCCTCCTTTCCCGCTCCCCATCTGGACCCTGCCCGACCTAACTGGGCCCGGGGGGCGGGGAGAGGATCAGCCATGACCCTGGCGGGAGCTGGCCAGGGAAAGCGCGTCTCCGTTCCACTTCAGAGCAGCCCGCGACCTCACCCCAGATCGGCCCCCGGCCCTGAGCGCACAGGCGTCAGGCGAGGTGTCGTCCGGTGGGACTCGCATCCCGACGCCCCATGACCATCCAGGGACCACGCGGCCCAGGGAGCTCGCCCGGCCCCGCGGGACGCCCACTCACTGCGGGTGAAGCTTGTAGAGCGTCCCGTCCACCCCCACGGTCACGGAGAGGTGGTCCAGCCCTCTGTTCTCTCGGATCTTGTCCACCACGGCGGCCATGCCGGCCCCGCACAGCTGCGCGGCCCTCCTGGACACCACGCCGCACACCATCTTGACGAGGATGCTGTCGTCGCAGGTGCTGTTCAGGCCCAGCTGCTGGAGGATGGCCCGGACCTGCAGCAGCGCTAACCGGTCGCTGGGAACAAAGGGGGCGGGGGGCTGCGTGAAGCGTGACCCGCCAGCGCAGCCTGCGGGCCCAGTCACTGTACTTCCCACCCAGGAACAGGTCACGGGGGTTTATCCCCATCAAAGTAACACGGATTTGTACATTTTTAAATGATTCCCCCAAAGGACTACCTGTTAAAACTGTAGGAAACCTGGCGAATCCAGAGAAATAAATATGGACAATGAAAGCCATCCACAATCCCAACCCCGGGGGAAAAAGCTATTGACACCTATAATATGCTAAATATTAATAAATATTAAATATTAATATGCTAAATAAAAGTGCAATATGCTAATTGACCAGATGTCCTTCCAGATGACCTTCCAGACAAAGCCAGGGCTACGAGGAAGCCGGTGTGGCAGCCGGGGGAAGGAAGGCCTACTCTATTAAGAATTTCATGCATCGGGCCTTTAGGTTTAATATATTTCCTCCCAATCTATTTTTCCTGAATATCTTTAAACAGCGTCTCTGTTCTTATGCACCATGGGCTGGTCCTTTACATTTGTTGCTTTTTTTCCCTACGTCACACGTCTGAGCCATGTCCTGCCGCCTTACCTAGGAACAGGATTGAAAACGGCTGCAAGAGCCTTCCATTCTGGGATGCACCAATCTTATTTAGCCAGTTTAGAGAAATTTAAGTTTTCTGTAATCTCATTTTCTGCTAGTAGGAAGTAGCATACTTTTTGTTTGTTAATCCTCACCCAAGGATATTTTTTCCATTGATTTTTTTTTTTTTTTTTTTTTTTTTTTTTAGAGAGAGGGAGGAAAAAAGGAGAGAGAAAAATATTGATGTGAGAGAGACACATCGACTGGATGCCTTCAGGACGCACCCCCAGGACCGGGGATAGAATCTGCAACCCAGATACGTGCCCTTGACTGAGAATCAAACCTGAGACCTGGGGTGCATGGGCCGACGCGCTGACCACTAGCACCAGCCAAGACGGAAGTAACTTTCTAGTGAAGTTTCCTATTCGTAAGTCTTGGATACATATCGCCAAGCGCCTTTCAGAAAGCGGCATCACTTCACTCCCACAGCAGCGGAGCGTGTGGCTGTCCTCGTCCCTCAGGGAAAGGATCCCTTTTTAAGACACCTGACAGTTCGGTAAGAATGGCACCATGCTGTGGTCTCACCTGCATCCTTCTCTCTTAGGGAGGACGACCTTTTTTTATCTTTTTCCATTTGTCTGTTGGCCATAGGAACTATTATTTGTTTATTTGTCTCATTCTTACTAAACTGAAAGAGGTGGTGATGACTATGTCGGTGGTCAGAGCAGCCAGCCCTGTGTGAGGACTCGCTGCGTGACGGATGCTTTACCTACATCACCACGTTTCCTCTTCATACAGACCAACCGATAGATATAGTAATTTTAGAGTCGAGGAAACTGAGCAACTCACTCGAAGCACACAGCCAGGGGGACAGAGCGGAGCTCAAGGCCAGACCTGGTCCAGCCCTTGTGAACTGCGCCCCACTCTGCACCTTATGTGCAATGCAAATGGCCTCCTTTTTCAAATGTTACAAGTTTGATTACTGATTTATCGTATAGAAGCTATTAGTAAAATGTGGCGTTTTTTTCTTTATGATTTCTCATGCACCTCATTATAACGTTTTGTTTCTGACCTTCCCATGTACATGGAATTCCCGTGCATACATACATAGTGAGGTTTATGTTGTCTTGTTTGTCTGTGTCACGTAGAATTAATTATTAGATAAGCTAAGAGAATTGAGGAGGGCAGAGGACGTGGGGGAAAGCGGTGAGCAGGTTCCAGCGGAGCCAACACGAGTGTTGCTAATGTGACCGCTGTAAAGACAGGTAGTTTTTCACACTTGTTTTTTGTTTTGTTGTTTTTTTGTTATGCTTTTGCAGACTTCTTTCACCTTCTCTCAGCGTGAAAGACAGCAAAAGCAGAGATGAAATGCTTCTATGAGAAAAATGGGAGGAAGGCAGAGGCAGCTTGTTGGGGGGCATGCACATGGGGTGGGGCTGGAGAGGGGTGCTGGGCTCTGCAGGACTCCACGTCCCTTCAACACAGATATCTGTAATGCATCTCCACGGTCCTGAGCCTGAGTCCGTATGGCCTACTTACACACGTAATGTCTAACAAATACCATGCCCCAACATAAAGGACACATAAGAGGAAAAGTCACTTATAATAAAACGACAGGAGAGAAAAAACAACCTCACACACGGCGCCTGATGACCCCTGGTCAGGTCCACCCCCTCCCGGCCCCTCAGGAAAGCCCCGCCCCCTCACCTCTCGATCTGGGAGAGATACTTGGTCTGGAAGATGCCCCGCGTCTTCAGCGACTCCGAGATCTTCCCTCGGAAGAGGAACCCCTTCTTGGTGAAGTCGAGCAAGATGTTGCGGACAATCTCGCCCAGGTACATGCCGCTGATCATCTTCTCGTACCTGGAACGGGAGGCGGGTGTCTGGCTGCCCATCCAGGGCATCGCCAACCTGCACCCCGAGCCCCGTGCTCCCCGCAGAGGCAGAGCGTGAGGCCACCCTCACCCCTCGCCGGGATCAGAAATAAAGCCACCAGCACTCGTGTCTAAGAGCCGGAGCACCTCCCTCTTCGCCTAACGTCCTGCTTTTGCCTGAAAAATCCCACTCCAGCTCTCAGCTCCGACATCCCTTCTCCAGAGGCCTGACTCTCCCCCCCTCCCCCCCGGACCAGCTTGTATCTGCAGATCTCAGACCCCATGCCCCTCCCTTGTCCTTCACAAGGCACGCAGGTCCACTGCCGCTCATCCCTGCAGCCAGAGCCTTGAGGAGGTGGATCATGTGCGCCTTGTTCAGCTCTGACTCCAAGGGCCCAGTACAGCACAGCACAGCACAGCGCTAGGCTTTCTGTCAATAAATATCTACAACAAGCAAACGGCTGGGTCTTAAAGGAAGACAAGGAGGGGAAACTTCCTGCTGGAGTGTTGGAAGGTTCTGCAAAAACCCAGAGTCTTGGCCAAGCACCGGGCAGAGCCGGTGACGCCATGCCAGCCGGAGGATCCAGGTGGCACGGCACCCGCTACGGCTGCTCCTGGGGCTTTATTTCCTGCCTCTCCACGCGCAAGGGCCTCAAGAAACGACAGAGGGTTTAAATGCGTCCGTGACACGCACCCAATCCCAGCGTCTCCAAGCCGGGAAGTCCGGATACTCTGGGAAGAGTAACCCGGATACTCCAGATTCCCGGTGGTCCACAGGAAAAAACAAACAGGAACTGCTACTATTACGATCAGTTCCCATCCAGTCCTTCCATTCCATCAAGGAGACCTTCTCAGTCAGGGGCTGATATGGCTTCCAGCCCCTGCGGATCCCTGTTTTAGCAAAGGGGGTCTTCGTTTAGGCAGTGGTTCTCCACCTTCCTAATGCCGCGGCCCTTCAGCACAGCTCCTCACGTGGTGACCCCCAACCATAACATTACTTTCGTTGCTACTTCATAACTGTCATTTTGCTACTGTTCTGAATCGTAATGTAAATACCTGTGTTTTCCGATGGTCTTAGGCGACCCTGCTAGCTGTTATGAAGTAGCAACGAAAATAATGTTATGGTTGAGGGTCACCACAACATGAGGAACTGGATTTAAGGGTCGCAGCATTGAAAAGGTTGAGAACCACTGGTTTAGAGCCTTTGGCAGGCAACAGTAGCTAGAATTAAATAAAGTTTTTCTCTTTATGATTACCATCTATTTATGGTAATATTGAGTTTTCTGGGTTATTTTTTCCTCTCCATCATTATGTTTAAGTAAAGAATTGAGGCTGAATTACAGAAAGACGTTAGTAATAGCCTAGCTGGTCTTTGGAGAAGGCAAAAATCTTGAGGGTGTCCTAGAGAACAACTTACATTCGGGAGGTACTACCCAGCCCTCTGTCCTGCTCCTACGGGCACAGTTGAGACCCACACATCCTGCTGGTGGCAGAGGATGCTGAATCCTGGGAACCTGTCTCTATGCTGGGGACACTGCCATCTCAGGGAGGGAGACCCGAGTTGAAACGCTCCCAACGGCCACTAGGAGGTGCAGGAGGTCCCTACGGAAAGGAAGGATTGCACTGCGCCTCGGCCTCACCCCTGACCAGAAGGCCCCCACTCCACGCCCCCAAACCCCCACCCCAGCCCCACTGGCAGGTCTGAATTCCCCCTGCCCTTTGACAACGGCAGGTCAGGTGTGCTCTCCTTTGACCACACAAGACAAAACCTACTGACCCAGAGGAAGGCTGCAATGCTCCAGGATGAACACGGTCACGGATGGGAAGTGGTGTGGCCCTGACCCTGTCCCCAGAGGCGCCTCGAGAGGACACCAACCGGGGCCTTCTTGTACCATGTTGGGGGCCCATCCCGTTCCCGCTCTCCTGGGGCCAAAAGCCAAGGTCGGGAGGACACCCTAGGGAGCCTCGGTGTAGACCCCGCTCCTACTAGAATGAGGTGACCAGACGTCCCGCTTTTTAACCATGTGTCCCGCGTCCCGCTGAGTTTTAAAAAAGCCGCGGGACACATTGTTAAAAATCGGGACTGACGCCAAGGCCAGTGTGGCTCAGTGGATGGAACTTCGGCCTGCGGACTGAAGGGTCCCAGGTTCGATTCCGGTCAGGGGCGTGTGCCTTGGTTGCGGGCACATCCCCGGTGGGGGGGTGTGCAGGAGGCAGCTGATGGATGATTCTCTCTCATCGATGTTTCTAGCGCTCTATCCCTCTCCCTTCCTCTCTGTGGAAAATTAATAAAATATATTTTTTTAAAAAAAACCCGGGACTGTCCGGCCCAAAGCGGGACGCCTGGTCACCTTATCCTAGAAGCGTCTTTGGTTGGAACGGGCAGAGCGTCCTCCCCGTCCCGACCCCCTCGTGCGCCCCTCAGCGAGCGGAATCACCTCTGCTTCCCCGCGTTCAGGGAGAGCTCGTCCACCAGGACGTCGTACTGCGTTCTGATGTCGTCCAGGCAGCCGTTGTCCCCGAACGCGCCCCACTCCATGTTGATGCACATCCGGCCCTCGGTGCCCTCCACCATCTCCACGTTCCTCATCTCCTCCATGTAGCAGGCGTTGCTGCCCGTGCCTGCGGCACAGGAGGGGACACCGTGAGCCGTCCCCGAGGCCGGGGCTTCCAGAGAGGGGAGCAAAGTAAATGGCGTCCCTTTCCCGTTTCCCAGAGAAAACCTCAAAACGTAAAAGGAGGGTCAGATGTAAGCCATCCAGAGCATTTGATTAACTCGCTTTGTAGGAAGACGTCAATGCCAAGAGCCTCCTGTCTCCTGCCCAGGAACACAGGACTGTGTTTATTTTAATGGAGGCGGTCTTACAAGAAAGGAATGGATCTTCAATGGCGGGCATTTAGGCTTTATTTAGATTGGAAGGATATTTCTCTCTCCCACCTCCTGCTCCCTCTTCCTCTCTCTTCACAGACACAGATACACACACACACACACACACACACACACACACACACACACAATATTGGGGGTTGTCTACTATTATACCATAGATGTCTGCTTAGCTTTTCTTTTTTTGTTGTGTTGTGGGTTTTTGTTGTTGTTGTTAATCCTCATCCGAGGATATTTTTCCATAGACTTTTTTACCTTTTTTTTTAAAATATATTTTTTATTGATTTTTTTACAGAGAGGAAGGAAGAGGGATAGAGAGCTAGAAACATCGATGAGAGAGAAACATCGACCAGCTGTCTCCTGCACACCCCCTACCAGGCATGTGCCCGCAACCAATGTACATTCCCTGACCAGAATCGAACCTGGGACCTTTCAGTCCGCAGACCGACACTCTATCCACTGAGCCAAACCAGTTTCGGCTCCATAGACTTTTTGAGAGAGTGGAAGGAAGGGGGAGAGGCAGAGAGAGAGGAACATCAATGTGAGAGACACATTGATTGGTTACCTCCGGCATGTGTCCTGACCTGGCCGGGGATTGAGCCTACAACCGAGGCACATGTCCTTGACCAGAATTGAACCCGGGATGCTTCAACCCGAGGACCAATGCTCTATCCACTGAGCCACGTCGGTTAGGGCCACTAATCTTTTCCTATCAAAGACGGCCATGGACTCTGGCTGCTCAGTAACCGCTCCTGCGTGTTCCAGAATGAAGCCCACAGTGGACCCTGCAGGACACTGTCCTGAGCATTTGAAAGGAGCCCTTGTAAGGTGACGACCCCTCACACTTTGGTACCACAGACCTTTCTGAAAATCTGATGATTCTCCTGAGGACCTTCCCCTGGGTGCACCACACGCTGTACACACACAATATGGCCAATAGATTCCAGAGGCTCAGGAGCCTCTGATACCCATCCCTGAACTGCCCCAGAGCAGGCAACTCAGACTGTGGCCCCCCAAGGATCCAGTGGGACCACAAACTGTTTGCCGTTCTCATCCATGAGGAGTTAAGTAGAGAAATTGAGAGGAAGTTATTGAGAACTTTCACAGACTTTTAATTGCCATGATATTCAAGCTTGTGGTCATTGGTCAGTGAATGGATTGGGAATTTAAAAACCAGCTGGTTGAGCCTCATCCTTTGCATCAAAAGGTTGCCGGTTTGTTCCCAGTCAGGACACAAACCTGGGTTTTGTTCAATCCCCGAATGGAATGCATACAGAAGACAACGAACCTATGTATATTTTTCTCTCTCCCTTCCTCTCTCTAAGCATGTCCTCGGGTGAAGGTTAAACAAACAAACAAAAACCAACTAACCAAGGAGGCCCTAGTAAAGGAATTTTAAATGTGCTCCTGAATGGCCTGGAAAGCCTGCTAGTGAGGATGCAGATTTCAATTCAGGTCTGGGGCGGGGCCTGAGACTCTGCATTTCTGACACTCCCGCAGGTGGTGCGGAGGCTGCTGGCCCATGCACCACACGTTGAGTAGCAAGGCCCTGGAGCACCATCAGCCGGGCAGAATGCAGACACAGCAGGACTTTCAACATGAGGGAATGCAAGGACATCCCCACTGGCTAGACCAAAAGGACTTGGTCATTGCCATACCTGAGGCAGAATTCACAGGCCTCTGGCTGGGTAACTGGATTCTTTGTGTGTTCTCAGCTCCCTTTCACCTAAAGTGTAAAACTGAGAAATGGAAGTGGGTGCAAAGAAAGCCAGACCAGCCGAAACCAGTCTGGCTCAGTGGATAGAGCATCAGCCTGCGGACTGAAAGGTCCCAGGTTCGATTCCGGTCAAGGGCATGTACATCCCCAGTAGAAGGTGTGCAGGAGGCAGCTGGTCGATGTTTCTCTCTCATGGATGTTTCTAGCTCTCTATCTCTCTCCTTTCCTCTCTGTAAAAAAATCAATAAAATATATTTTAAAAAAGAAAAAAAGAAAGCCAGACCATGAAAATCATACTTTCTGCCCCTGGGAGTTCTGAGCAGAGAGCTGGATGAGCAGGGAAGTGAAATGTGGCTTTGCGTGCAGCTGGAGCTGTGGAGAACCCCGCCCCGCCCGCCTCTCCTCTCGTGCCAGGAGCAGCTGCCTGGGCGGCCCTGACCCCCAGGCCCGAAGGTGAGGCCTGACCTGGAAGTGGAGAATGTGCTGTGTCACTCTGGCTTTGCATATCACGCCCAAGCCCATTCATAAAGAGGAGAGAGGGAGGGTTGGGTGGAGAAAGCTTTGCAAAGCAAAGGAAGAAACAAATAAGCCCAAAGCCAGGCCCCCAGAAACCTTTCACCTGGAGCTGCTCCCCACTTCTTTGCATTTCTACAGGAGCCCAACGTGGTTCAACAAATAAAAAGGCCTCGCTGGCACCCAGGGTAGCCTGCTGGGCTTTTCCCAGCTCCATCCCAGCCCTCGGGGAGAGGCCCACGCAGCAAGGCGCACCCTCCCTGTCCACGTGGGGTCTGCAGATGTTGGCTAAGAAACAGGGTTCTTTTCCCAGCACCCCAACACCAGGAGCAGCAGGTCCAATTAGACAAGTGGTTTTCCCGCAGCCCAAATCAGTATGGCAGCAATCACACTTAGGTAAAAACTGCTGTTTGAATTTTAACCCTGCTCTTCTGGCTTCGGCACTCTGACTGGTTTACACAATAGGGTCGTTACCTCAGTTTCCAGGTTGAGACCTGGAAAATCACAAAGGTAACTTCCCTCTGCCTGTGGACCAGGACCACAGGAGATGGATTCCCATTGACTCAGCAGCTCCAGGAGTGGAAATTGCAGATAACCTTTAGAGATTAACTTGGCTCAGTTCTGTATTATTTGCTATCCCAAGACAGGTCCACGTTCCAGCATCCAGCAGGACGTTGTTCCCAGCCTTTAGGATTTAGAATTCAGAACCAAGGAAAATTCTCATGGTTTAGCCCTTTAAAAGGTCTGCCTACACCTGGAACAGTGCAGTGTGTGAGTGTGGACTCCACCTGCGTGTGGTACTCTCACGGACGTCCTGGCCAGCTCAATAAATCCTTGCCTGTTTTTTTAATCAATTAGCAGCCTCCGGTAGTCTTATTTTGACTGTAGGGTTCGATCCCACAACACTTCCGGAATCAGTGCTCCTAAGACACAAGCCCCTAATGTGCTTGGACTATAAGAGGACAACCTGCAAAGCAAGCAGCAAGCCCCTCTCAACCCACGTCAGGGGCTGGGACGGCTCACTAACAGCGGCTGCTGGCACCCAAAACGACTCTCCAGCTCCTTCCCACAGTCAGGCTGGAGGAGCCCGCTTCTCCCTTCCAGGCCACAGGCTGGCAACACCTGCCTGGAGCGTCTCCACACCAACTCCAGTGCTCCCACCCATCCACCCAGCCACGTAACTCAAGTGAGTCCTCCTCCCTGGAAAGCTCTGCTCAGTCTGGTCTCTGTCGCCGTGGCAGGTGCTGGGGAGGGAGCCCCTGCAGGGTTCTGGAGCCTGGGTCAAGGATAAAGCTCTGGAGGTGCTAAGGGGACAGGACTGACAGATCCTGTCTCACACAGAGGGCTGAGCTGCTGGTTCAAGGCCCCACAAAACAGGAACCCTAGCCCTCCTTGCCCCTCGGAGAGAGACCTTTCAGGACACCCACCTACGATGAGTCCAACCTCACAGGTGGGCTCCTCGTAAGCACAGGTCATCATGGTGCCCACCGTGTCGTTGACCACAGCCACCACGTCCAGATCAAACTCCTGGGGAGAGAGACGGACACGGCGTGAGCTTTCAGGAAGGACACACTGAATTCCGCAGGCTCACTGGGCCGCACTATGGGCCGAAAGCATCTGGAACAGTGTTCTCACCAGCCCATAAAAGGCACTCAGATGCTCCTTCACTGACTGAACACCTCCTGTTAATGATGTAGCTACAGTTTAAGATCTAAAGGAAGTATTATTAGAGAGGCGGCTTGGAGGGGATTGTTGAACGGATAAAAAGCGAGGGACTTAGCCCAAAAGCTCTTTCTCTTGGGGTTTAAAGCCTTATAGCCTTTCAGAGGGCAAAATGCAAAGACCAAACCCACATCTCAGAATGTGTCTTCCAGAAATAGCCATGCAGGTACACAAAGGAACGTGCACAGGGGTATTTACTGCAATGACATGCATGAGCCAGAACGAGAAGCCACCCAGAAACAGACCAACCGTGGTCCAGAAGAACCAGGACTTGCTGTGTGAAGTCACTAGGTTCAGAGTGGCTTCCAAGGCAACGATATGAAGTAACTTACACGTGGGGACATATTCATGCCACACACATTCATTGCTCCAAGGACCCACCCGAGAAGCCCTTTAGAATCCCTACAGGCGTCAAGAAAATACGCCTGATGCAGCCATGCAAAGATGTCTGCTTCCTACTAAATTTAAGAAAAGCAACTTGTTATCTAGCATATGTGGTCTAATTACAATTTTAAAAAGTGTGTGTTGGTCTATGCATGGAAAGTAAGTTGGGGGAACACTAACACTGAGCTGTGAAATGGGCAAAGAGATCATTGGGTTTCTTCTCAATGGCATACTGGCTGCTCCCTTCAGGTGCGACCGGTCTCTCCTTCACACTCATTCACTTCAGCCTTCCTGGTCACCTAGGTATTTATTTGTCTGCTCTTTTAAGCTGGAAGTGTGTGTGTGTGTGTATGTGTGTGTGTGTGTGTGTGTGTGTGTGTGTGTGTGTGTTTTAACTTCTTACTGATTCCCTGATTAATTAACGAGTTAAATAAAATCTCTGGAATTTTTCACTTTCTATTTTGTCAATGTTCTCCAGCCAGAGGCCGGCAGAAACAGCTGTGGTGGAACAGAGCTGGACTCCTGACTGGTTGTGATTGGGAGAACACCTCCCATGGGGCGCCTTGGCCTGTCAGCCCTGCTTCTAGGATCTGAGCCCGGGGAGGCTGGCTTCAGGCAGGGGTCAGAGAAGGGGCGCTGTGGTCTGGGTTGGAGGCTGTGGGGGAAGCAGGCAGTTCTTTGCGTGTGTGCTGAGTTTGCTGTGATGGAGGGACACGCCCGGTTCCCATGGCGGTCACCAGTGGCTGCGGTGATATTTGTGTTCTGTGAGGCTGTTGTGTCCCACAGGAGGACACCAGGTCTGATGGTAGCGCCAGGCTCTTTGGAGGAGAGTTGTGATTTTTTTACCTTGTCAAGCAAACTGTCCTTTAACAACTCCAAACTGCTCACCTCTGTCTTTCTGCCGGCTGCTGGGGAAACTTCCTACCCAGACCATGTGCCTCTGGGTTGTTTGGGTTCTTTGTGACCAGCAAGCAGGATTCTTAGAACCCAAAAGCACCGTCAGCACGTTTAAAAACAGCTTTGTCATAGTTACCTCTCTCCTTTTCACCGCGTCCCGTAGTAAGGTGGCCACGTCGTGCCCCACGCAGTCGGTTGCCTTAAACCCCTTCGTCCAGGTGATCAAGATTCCCTGAAACAGGAGAGGCACCGGGAGAGGCCTGTGAAATGAGCCTCTAGGGGCCGGACACAAAATTCCTTCCCTTCCTGAGTCCACTATCTGCTGAGACTGTACAGCGAGACTCTGCTGGGGAAACAGAGGCACTAAACCAATAAAACATGGGTCATCCTCCACAGGCCTGACTCCTCCTCACCATCCTCACAGCCGTCAGTTTACAGCCCCCATTTCACAGATGGAGAAACTGAGGCATGGGATGTGAAAGGTGCTGCCCCTGATATAACCAGTGAGTTCCCCAACAACCTGCATGGAGAAATGCTCATTTTTAGTAGCACTGTCACTACCGGAAGTAAGACCAAGTGGGCTGCAGGGATGCCATTGGTGGGTGTGTACGTGAACTGCAAAGCGCAAGCTTGTATGGATCCAACTGCTGGCACAGAACAGGCCGTAAGAGGGGAAAACAAAAACGAAAACGAAAACAAGTCAGCACTCTCACTGCATTAACTGGCTTCAGGAGGCAGGTGCCCGACCTGGCGTGCCTAGTTCTGCCAATCATATGCCTCAAAGCCTGACCCAAGGCCAAGTGTGATGCAAGGTCCCCTCCAGCGCCTCCACCCTGGCCAGGCATCACCTGTGACACGCAGAGGCCCTGTGGCTCTTTCTGCGAGGCAGGCCTGATCTTGCCTCCGTGACTCTGCAAAATAGGTTCCCTCTGCACAGAGCATGGCCAACCGACGGACCGCCCCAGCACAGTGCTGGCTGCTGGGAGGCTGGGCTCTCGGAACGGCAGGCTTCCTGAGGACAGACACTGGACCTTCAGCTCCACCCAGTTATCCATACTCAGCAGGTGCTCAGCCCTGACCCCACGCAGGCAGTGACCTTTCCATCCCATTTTCTGAACATTTCCATGTTGATTCTGTTCCATCTCATTTATTGAACATTTATCAAGTATTTCTTCCGACAGCTCTCTGTGCTGGGGCATGTGGGAAACTAAGGTTATCGCTAATAACTGCAGGAGGTGCTACAATAGGACAACGCTAAGAGGAACAGGGAACACGGTGGAGGGTGCTGTTCTCTTTGTCTGAAGGACAGAATACTCCCCCCGCAAAGGTAAACGCTTTAAATGATAAGAGTCTGAAGAGGTCCTGGAGGCGTGGCATAAAGCCTGGATCGCCCGCCGCCTGTGACGTCTGGGCCGTGTGGACCCTGAGGAATGACAGCGAGGCTGGAGGAGGCCCCAGGGCCAGCTCGCACGGGCCCAGCGGACAGTCAGCACTGCCCCGTGTCTGACTCACTCACCGCATCCAAGCTCTTCTGGCTGCAAGGGAACGAGAAGGTGAAGCCCAGCGGCATGCGCGGGCCTTTGATCCCCATGTAGTCCAGGAAGTCGGAGATGCAGGACACGATGTGGTCAAACAGCTTTAGGAGGAAAGAGCGGATTGCGTGTGTGTTCTCTGGTTTCATACTTTGAATGCACTCACACAAATGGACACGGACGCACACACAGACACACCAGAGCACACCCCCCTCTCCGGCGTCCCCTGAGCACCGTCAGCCCAGCGTGGCTGACGTGCCTGCCGATTTCGGGCCACGGAGACGCCTGCAGGCTGCAGGCATCACCTGGCAGGGGCTGGGGCCCACCAGGCTGCCGGCTACGTGACACACACACAACATGGTGATGTAGAAGCGAACCGTCTCACCTCCTCCCCCGTGCCCTGCATGATCTCGATGGGGATGGCATAGATCTTGTTGTGCATTTCCACCGTTCTCTTCTTCCCACTGCGGATCTTCACCAGCAGGACGCGGAAGTTCGTTCCTCCGAGATCCAGGGCCAAGAAGTCACCATTCTCTGCCGTAGACGAGAACAGGAAGAATTTCAAAAGCAGCCAGGTGCCTCCAGGCCGCCAGGGACCCTAGGACTCCAGGCTTTCAAGGGGAAACCCCCCTCCCCCATATTCAATAAGGGGGGGGGGAGCTCTAAGTCTCTCCTCCAGCACACAGCTCAGGCTCAGAGGGGGGTGGCCACTCACGCACGGACCACCACACCCTGTGAGCCATGACAAGGACAGAAGGCCCCACAGATGAAACACACTTCACCAGGGTTTACTGAAACACCTGGCCACACCCTCACGATGGGAAACCTCACACAGAGATGAGTAACATCTGTCCGTGTGTATGGTGCCTGCGACATGGCCACCATCCTTCCCCTCCCTGTCCACGTGCTGCTTTGCAAAAGTGACCGCAGCTCTTTCCCGTTAAAAAGTGGAGTCTGTTTCTCCTCCCCTGGGATCTGGCCTGGCCAATGACTTGCTTTGTTGGCCAACCGTGTGGCAGAAGCCACGCTGAGCCAATCCCAGCTCAGGCCTCCAAAGTCCCCCCTCTCCCTTGTGGACCCTGCTGCTGCCACGTGAGCAAGCCCCCTGTGGCCCACTGGAGGGGGACACACACAGCCAGGCTCTCCTGCACCCCAGCTGCTGCTAACCAACTGCCCGACATGTGAGGGGGGACCCTCAGCTGACCCACCAGTGGCTGCGGACACATGAGTGAGTCCAGCCAAGATCAGCCGAGCCTGGCCCAGGGGAGCCACCGTACACGGCTGACCCACAGACTCCCAGGCAATAACGAGTGGTTGCTGTGTGAAGTCACTTGGTTCAGAGTGGCTTCCAATGCAGTGATATGAAGTGACTCACACGTGGGACTTATTCATGTCGCACACATTCACTGCTCCAAGGACCCACCGAGAAGCCCTCTAGAGTCCCCACGGCGGTCAGCTCCAATGACACCCAGCAAGGTGAGCGTGAAGGGCTGGCCGCTGTTCTCCCATCTGCCGGGGTGTGACAATCCCTAGGCCTGTCTGCCTCAGGCACCCCATCGGGGCTTAGGAGGGAGGGGTGCGTGGCTGTTTATCCTACCGGCGGCGTACCGTGTTTGTGAGACAACCTATCGCGCCCCGGGGAGCAGGGTGTGCCCAGCTCGGTTCGAGAAGGACCCTTTGTAACTCCCAGCAAGCTGTGGTCCTAGAGAAGGCGCCTGCCCAGGAGGCCCGGCCAGGAACGTCCACTGCCCCGAGCCACACACGGCAAGCCAGCGATCAAAATGGAAAAAAAAAAAAGCGAGTGTTACCCGAAACCGGTTTGGCTCAGTGGATAGAGCGTCGGTCTGTGGACTGAAGGGTCTGGGTTCGATTCCAGTCAAGGGCATGTACCTTGGTTGTGGGTACATCCCTGGTAAGGGGTGTGCAGGAGGCAGCTGGTCAATGTTTCTTTCTCATTGATGTTTCTAACTCTCTATCCCTCTCCCTTCCTCTCCCTTCCTCTGTAAAAAAAATCAATAAAATATATTTTTAAAAAAGAAAAGAAAAAAGCGAGTGTGCGCGAGTGTCTGGCTCTTGCCAAAACCATGCAACGCCAGTGCCCATGCACTCGCCAGACAAGCCAACCTCTCTGCTGCCCACTGTCATTGGTGCGAGCAGCAGGAGGGCACACGGGCCCAGCAGAGGCCTCACCGGTCCCGTCCGGTGTGCTGCGGACGAAGGAGGGCAGCATCTTCACCACGGCCTTGTCGTTGGTCGTCTTCTTCAGCCCCATCTCCATCTCGGCCCGCATCCTCTTCTTCACCTCCAGCAGCTTCTCCTTGGTGAGGCGGAAGTGCGCCAGCGTCTCCTCGATCTGCCGGTGCTGCTCCGCCAGGCGGTAGGCCACCGCGGTCACCATGGCCGCCCCCTTGCCGCTGCCGCTCTCCGACAGGAGGAAACGCACGTCGCAGTCGGGCACCAAGCGCCTCAGGGTCTTGTGGAAACGTCGAGAAAACCTGGGAGGGAGGGATGGGGGGCCACAAGAGCCGGACTGAGCCATCTCTCAGGAGCCTCCTATACCCCCTCTTTTTATTTTCTCACACACTTTTAAAAAACATATATTTTATTGATTTTCTACCGAGAGAAAGAGAGAGGAATAGACAGTGAGAACCATCGATGAGAGAGAATCATCAATCAGCTGCCTCTTGCACACCCCCTACGGGGGATGTGCCCGCAACCAAGGTATGTGCCCTTGACCGAAATCAAACCTAGGACCCTTGAGTCCGTGGGCAGATGCTCTATCCACTGAGCTAAACCCGTTTTGGCTCTCACGCATTTTTAAAAAACATATATTTTATTGATTTTTTTGCAGAGAGAAAGGGAGAGGGATAGAGAGTTAGAAACATCGATCAGCTGCCTCCTGCACACCCCCCACTGGGGATGTGCCCGCAAACAAGATACGTGCCCTTGACCGGAATCGAACCTGGGACCTTTCAGTCCGCAGGCCAACGCTCTATCCACTGAGCCAAACCAGTTTTGGCTCCTTTCCCACACTTCAATTCCATTTCCTACACTGGCTCTTCTCGTTAGCAAGGCACACCCGCCCGCTGTGGGGAAGTTAAAGGCGGACAAGCGGGGAAGAGACAGAATCGCTCATCGTCACACGGGAAAAGGAGAGGGTTCTCATTATCACACGAGCATCGAACACGGACATTCAGGGTCCACAGAGGATCCTGTCCTCCGCCACGAAGAGGAGAGACAGCACGGCACGCAGGGCCCAGAGCTGGCGTGTCACGTGAAGGGAGTGCGGGGAGTCCCGGCACCTCCCCATCAAGGCCGGGGGACCTGAGCCGAACCTTGGGGTTCCGAGGATGCCAGCATCTGGCTGCCAGCGATGTGCGGGGACTAACGGCGCTCATTCAACACTTAGATCAGTGACTGGCATAAGGGCGAGGGCTCGGTGATCACTCCTGCTCTTCACTTTCCCGTGGGCCTTCCCCCCGCCCCAGGGTCTGGGCGTTCTCAGTGGCTAGAAGAGGACTCGAGGACAGGACTCACGGGGACACAGGACTTTCCCGGAGTCTGTGGTCTGCTGTACGGAGGGAAGGCTGCCTGCCAAAGGAAACAGGGAAGCGGGCACCCCGAAATACTAACAGCGGTCAACTCCAAGGGTGAGGGTTAAAATGACTTCTTTTCCCTATGTAACTTTTTAAATTATCTCCAGTGTCTTGCCAAAACCGGTTTGGCTCAGTGGCTAGAGCTTCGGCCTGCGGACTCAAGGGTCCCAGGTTCGATTCTGGTCAAGGGCATGTACCTTGGTTGTAGGCACATCCCCTGTAGGGGGTGTGCAAAAGGCAGCTGATCGATGTTTCTCTCTCATTGATGTTTCTAACTCTCTATCCCTCTCTCTTCCTCTCTGTAAAAAGTCAATAAAATATATATTTTTTAAATTATCTCCAGTGTCTAGACCGAACATATGTTACTTCTAAGATAAGAAACACTTAGCCACAGTTATCTTTTAACCCCCTTGTACGCCATAAGCGTCTATAGACGCATTATATTAAAAATATCGGGGCGTGCGGGGATGGTCTCCGTTGGGATGCGTGGCAGTGAACTGGTTAAATGTGGTGGTGCAGGTGAAGAGTTCTGGAGATGGCTGGCTGGGGCAGCAGCTGCTCCACAGCGTGACGGTACTTATACTGCTGAACTGTACACTCAGCACTGGTTCAGAGAGGGAATTACGTGTCCATATTATGTGTTTTTGCCACAATTTTAAAAACATTTAAAAATATATATATATTTCATTTGATTTTTTTTTTTTTTTTTTTTTTTTTTTTTTTTTTTTTTTTTTTTACCGAGAGGAAGGGAGAAGGATGGAGAGTTAGAAACATCGATCAGCTGCCTCCTGCACGCCCCCTAGCTGGGTATGTGCCCACAACCAAGGTACATGCCCTTGACTGGAACCGATCCTGGGACCCTTCAGTCTGAAGGCTGACGCTCTATCCACTGAGCCAAACCAATTAGTTCTTAAAAACTTTTTAAATGTCACGTTGCAAATTCTAAGCTTCCTTGTCTAAAACTTTTCTAAGAAATCCTCTCCAACCACCACCAAGATAGCACGTTCCAGTGTAAAAAATGTACAAAGACTCGAAAAACACAAAGAAGTAAAACGATGACCCTGACAGATAATAATAGCTCACTGGCTCACAGCCTATCCCCTCAGCACCTATTTCTGGGTGAGCCAGCCTCCGTTCTCCCGTCACTAAATCGGTGAAGGTGAGCACCCCCCTGCGAGGCCCCCCCACCTGCACATCACACATCCCGGGGGGAAAGCACCTGCGATTCTGCACAAAAGCCATGTCCTAGGACAGTGGTCAGCAAACTGCGGCTCGAGAGCCACATGTGGCTCTTTGGCCCCTTGAGTGTGGCTCTTCCACAAAAATACCACGGCCTCGGTGAGTCTATTTTGAAGAAGTAACATTAGAAGTTTAAAAAATTTGGCTCTCCAAAGAAATTTCAATCGTCGTACTGTTTGATAATTGGCTGTTGACTAATGAGTTTGCCGACCAGTGCCCATGCCGTGACTTTTGTGCAGAATCGTTCAGACTCAGCATGAAGGCTTAGCATTCACCTCCGGCCTTTTACAAGGGGAAGCCATGTCCTCAGTGGCCTCTGGGGGCTGTGGCAGCGGAGGCATCCCACAGACAAGAAGGCAGCCCGGGGACCACTTACAGCCCACCCCTCCCTCTGGCTCTAGGAGGCTAAGTGTCGGCAAGGTGCCCGTCTGAAAAGGTGACGTCTGAGGGCCTCGCAGAGGAACCGCACATCAGGAATGCGGGAGCTGCATCTAAGACCCAGGCTTCCGTGAGGATCCAGGTCCCTGATGACATGAGGACCAGCGAGAGAACTGAGGATGCAGACCCATCCCACCCAGCGCTCCTGGCCGCCGCAGAAATCACTAGCAAAGCTCACGAAATGGGAGAGAGGTCAGTGCCGGGCAGAACACCACCGGCGAGAAACAGCTGAGGGCCGGACCCTTCCCAGGCGGGCGACCCTGACCTTCCTGCTCAGAACCAGGCCGTCTCATCCGCCAAAACAGAACTCCCACTGGGTGCAGAAGCCCGACCTCTGGAGCAGGTCCTCAGCCCAGACGGGGACGGATGCCAACGACAGCAAAGGGCGGACTCACTGTGGGTGCGTCTTGTAAAGAGACCCGTCGACACCAACCGTGGTCCGCAGCCTGGGGACGCCCTTGTTATCTCGGAGGCGATTCAGGATGGCGCCCAGTGCCGCCGCCACCAGGTTGGCCGAGCGGAACGAGACGATGGTGCACACGTGCTGGACGGAAACGCAGTCGACATCGGACGGCTCCACGCCCAGGCGGGTGAGGATGTCTTTGGCGTTGCTGAGGCCTTCCTTATTCCTGCAGGGGGCGGGGGGGGGGGGCCTCGTGTGAGTGAAGGACCTCGCCGGGCAGCGCGGAGCGCCGAGGGCCCGGGTCCTGGAAAGGGGCCCGCCGTTCCCCAGGGCGGGCGGCGTGTGTGGTGCAAAGACAGACAGGAGCGTGAAAGGAGGTCCTCTACCCGAGAGAGCAGCCAGGCTGTGAGAAATCAAGCTCTGCTGGGTGAGGACGTGCACGTGGAAGACGTGGAGAGGCGAGACCGCGGGGCCTCTGGTCAGGTGGAGACACAGCTGCTTCCACCCGGGGCTCCCAGTCAGGGGCCCGGGAGAGTCGCCCGGTCTCCCCGTCTGTGCGCTGCTGCTGCTGGATGCTCCCACATCCTTCCTCGATGCTGTCCAACCAAACTGTAATTTTCTGCACACACGCTTTGTATATCTATCGCTGAAGTCGTTCCAAGGTACTTAACAGATTTGTTACTATTATAGGTGGTGTTTTTATATATTTACACACACACACACGTATGTATGTGTGTGTGTGTGTATGTATATATATATATATATATACACATATATATGTATATATACATATATATTTTTTTCCCTTTAATGTACCACAGTAAAGTCAGATGTGAACAATGGGAGACACTGCCTGAGGGATTGTGGAACCACTATGTACTATCCTCGCCATTTTTCTGTAAATCTAAAAATATTCTAAAATAAAAAACTTACTTTAAGCATATAGACCTATTTTCATTACTGCCAATATATAGAGAAATGTAATTGGCTTTTGTATCTTCTCCCCAGACACCTTCTTAATCTCTCCTGCTGTCTCAGTCACTCGTCCAGCTGTGTCTCAGTGTTTCATACAGACAATTGCCATCTGCACAATATGACAGTGTTACCTCCTTTTTTTTTTTTTTTAAATTCTTATGCCTGTAATTTCTTTTTCTTTTATCTATTTTTGCTGTTGCTAATCCTCACCTGGGGATATTTTCCTATTGATTTTTAGAGAGAGTGGAAGTGGAAGGGGAAGAGACACAGAGAGAAACATCGATGTGAGACAGACATGGGCCAGCATCGAGCCTGCAACCAAGGTACGTTGCCCTTGACTGTAATCGAACTTACGGCCCGTCAGTCTGAGGGCCAACACTCTCCATGGCCGGGCTCTTTCTTATTCTTTTAAACATTAGCTAAGACTCCGGGACAATGCTAAACAAAAACAGGTGATGCTGTCTTGCTCCTGACTTTAAAGAGAATGCTTGGGGCACCTGCCCTTGCAGAGTGTTTTTCATAGGCATTTTTAAGAAAGCCTTTATGACAATACACAAGCTTTCTTGAGCTAGAGCTCAAGCGAGTTTGTGTTTCTTGGTCACCAAAAAGCCAACACGAGACTCGGGCCCAGAGGAAGGCAGGCACTTCCTGGCTTTGTCAGTGGGCCTCAAGACAAGCCACGAGCATCCTGCCCCTCCCCCCCAGCAGCTGACCAGGAGGCGTGAAGGGCGGTTGGCTGGAAACAGTCCCAGGCTCCCTGCTCGCGAGCTCAGCACCAATCAATCCTCGGACAAACGCCACGGACATCCTGTGGCAGGACAGCCAGCCCAGACAGACTCCTTCCCACTTCCCTCAGCCTCCTCCACCACAGACAGCTCATGCGCCTCTTCTCCCGGCAGCCAGAGCTAGGAAGCACGGACTCTCTGCCATCCAGGACCACAGCAGGGGCAACGGGAACGGCCACCTTGCGTGGGGAGGAAAGGGCGTTTCGAGCACCAACTGGCCCTAGCTTTCAAGTAGGAGTCTCCCGACCAGGAACTGAACCCGCGGCACACAGAAGCCAGCCACAAGCCGGAGCCCTGGAGCTCGGGGCGCCTGACGACAACTAACACAGGACCGAAGTTACCCCCTCCTGCTCGGGGCGAAGGCCTGCCAACAGCAGTCTCGGCAGAGAAGTCTGGGTTTCTTACGCTGAGGCCAAAAGGTCGCAGTCAGGATGTTGGCTGGAGTCTCTGTTCTTCTGTGTTTATCTGTCCTGTCTCACGTGCTAACCACCGTTTCTCAAACTTGAGCCAGGGAACACGTCTTCTGGCTGCTAACCAAAGTGAGCTGGGTTCTCTGGACTAAGCTAAGACACTGTAAATCTCTAAAGGGTGGATAAATATGCAGTATTTCCCAACCCTACTGGCCACAGAACCCTTTCTTCAGGGTTAATATGCAGTATTTCCCAACCCTTTCCACAGAACAACTGTCGTCAGTCACTAGGGTTCCTTGGAAGAATAGCCTGGAGAGGGCCCTGATATCCCAAGGAGGAATTCCAAATCCAGACCGAATTCCAAATCCAGACCCTGGGCTCGGTCAGCTCCTTGTTCACCACGAGGATCCCCTCTAACCTCACCCTTTTGTGGGGGAAGGGGAGGGGAGAGGGGGCTGCTTCTGCAACTATGTCATCCATGAAGCATACGCTGCTGACTAGGACATTCTTTTTCTTTAAAAAAAAAAAAAATGTTTTTACTAATTCCAGAGAGAGAGGTAAGGAGAGGGAGAGAGGGAGAGAAACATCAATGAGAGAGAGAGAGAGAGAATCATGGATCGGCTGCCTCCTGCACACCCTCTCCTGGGGATCGGACCCGCAACCAGGACGCGTGCCTTGATGGGGAATCGAACGGTGACCTCCTGGGTCATGGGTCGAAGCTCACACTGAGCCACGCCGGCCGGGCTAGACCATTCTTTAAGGTGCTGACACCAGGCAGACCAGCCCAGGGCGGGACAGCGAAGACGGGAGAGAGATGGACCCAGGGCGCCCCTGGCGCTCCTGAGGGGGAAGCCCATCAAACCAGGACTCGCACGCCACAAGGGACCCCTCACTCTTCTGCCCCCACGGCCCCCCAGAGCCTCCAGGGAGAGCACCTACTTTTCAATGGCTGACACGTCGCTGGTGTTAAACTTCCCCCTGGTGAGCAGCTCCGGGGTGATGCGCCCTTCGAACAGCAGGCCCTCCTTGGCCATCTTGACCAGGATCAGGCGAACCAGCTCCCCCAGGTACATGCCGCTGACCATCTTCTCAAACCTGAAGGACGAGGGCACCAGGCACTCCTGAGGCCCTTCCCCCCGGGCGCCTCGGGGGCACGGGGCGGACACAGGAGACGCGCCTCATCCCTCACCAGCTCGCAGCCTCGCGGGCAGGCAAGGCCACACACGTGTGAATAAGCACCGAGGGGATACCGGGGGGTCTTGCCCAGGGGGCCCACAGGAGGCGAGCACCCCAGGGGCAGGCAGGGGAAACGTTAGGACCTAGAAATGAGCAAAGTACCATCGCCTCTTACAGAACTTGATGCTATACTTTAAAAAAAAAAATTGGTTTTAATTTATTTGAGAGAGGAAGGGGAGAGGGGGAGAGAGATAGAAACATCAATGATAAGAGAGAATCGCTGATTGTCTGCCTCCTGCACGCCCCACACTGGGAATCAGACCCGCAACCCTGGGCACGTGCCCTGACCGGGAATCGAACCGTGACCTCCTGGTTTATAGGGCAATGCTCAACCACTGAGCCACACGGGCTGGACCGATGCTGTACTTTTAAATTAGGGCTTCTCGTCCCCATTGCTCTCTCGGACAGATGGCCCAGGCCTGTGGGAATGCTCCCCAGGCCAGGGAGCATTCTCTCCGTTTCCCAGCTCAGAGGGTGAAGGGCTGCTCGGAGGGAATGCTGAGTGGATGACGGAGCTGAACTGAAGCCATTCCCACGGGATCTGTCACTGGCCACTCCCTGGCATTCATGGTCTCCCTCTCCAGCCTAAAGGGCCAAGAAGAGTCTGCTTTGAGGAACCCACTTCTCCCCGACTGACCTCACCCTCACCCTCACCCTGGGGCAGGCCTCTGAGTGGCTTAAAGCCCATCAGCTCATGGCACTGCGCTGGCCACATTCAGCCATGGGCCGGTCCCAGAGGGAGCCCCCCTCTCGCCACCCCTGGGAGGTGTGGTGGGAGGTGTGGTGGGAGGTGCGGGCTCTGTAACTGCAGCCGCCCGGTGCTGCATGGGAGAGTGTGCTGAAAACAGGGATTGGAGCCATGAGGAGGGGCCAAGAGAAAGCCCTCAGCAGAACGGATCAGAGAGGCAGGTCCACGCCGGGCCTGTCCTCTGAGGGCCCAGCTGGCACGCCCAGCACTGGCTGTGACACAGCAAAACAACCTGTTCCATTCAGAGACGTGCCCGGAAGCCACGGAGGCTGCTGGGCCTGAGCCCGGCCCTCCCTCATCCGTCAACACCGTCCCCATTGTTCCCGCTCCTGCAGGACCAGACAGGACCGCCCCGGCCATGCCCTGCGGAGGATCCTGGCAGGAGAGCGCCTTTCTGAGTCCTCCGTGCCCGCCTGCCCCCCTCCCCACCCCCGCAAGGACCCGCTGGAGTGGCCTCTGGGTGCCCTGAGCCTGCAGGAGCCGGTGCAGAGTCCACAGCGGGGTGTCCCCCACAGGAGGCGCGGACGGTGCACATCTGACGGGCTTCTCGCTCTGCGGGCACCGGGCGTTCTGCCCTTTCGGCCCCCACCCCGGACCTCGAGCTCAGTGCCCCCGGGCACACAGGTGGCCAGCGCGGACGGACAGGCGGGCGGGACTCACAGCTGCTTGCCCGGGTTGAGGGAGCCCCGGTCGATCTCACGGTCGAACTCCGTGCGGATGTCCTCCAGGGCCCCGTCGTCCCCGAAGGCCCCCCACTCGGTGTTGATGCACATGCGCCCCTCGTCGCCCTCCACCAGGTCGATGTGCCTCAGCTCCTCCATGTAGCAGGCGTTGGTGCCGGTGCCTCGGGGGGAGACAGACGGGAGCGGCAGCTGTAACCACAGCCGCCCGAGGTCACCGAGGGCCAGAGGGAGGGACGGGGACACGGGGCGGGGGCGTTACCGATGATGAGGCCGACTTCACAGTGCTGGTCGTCGTAGCCACACGTCATCATGGTCCCCACCGTGTCGTTCACCACGGCCACGATGTTGGCATCGTAATCCTGGGGACAGACGGCAGGACGTCACCGCCCATCCCCACTTAAAGAGAAAGAGGCCTGGCCCAGTCTCTCCCTGCGGTGAGAGAGGGGTCTGCGGACGGAAGGGTCCCGGGTTCGATTCCAGGCAATGGCACGTACCTCCGTTGCAGGCTCCATCCCCGGCCCTTGGTGGGAGTGCATGCAGGAGGCAGCCAATGGATGTGTCTCTCTCACAACAACGTGTCTCTCTCTCTCTCTCTCTCTCTCTCTCTCTCTCTCTCTCTCTCTCTCTGTTTCTCCTGGGCCCTTCCATTCTCTCTCTCTCAAAAATCCTCGAATGAGGATTAACAAAAAGAAAGAAAGAGAGAGAGAGAGAGAGAGAGAGAGGTTTTCATAACCTGGAGGAGGGGCCGCTTTCATCCCTGCTGGCACCCCCATTAACTGGACCAAATCCAGTGACTAAATTATAGAAACTGCACCGTTTATTACCTGGCTTAAGATTCTCCTCCGGGTGGATTTATACACAGAGGCACGGCCCTCTACTATTATAACCACCCTGCTACATCCATGCGCTGGCAGCCCGGCTTCCCACCACACAGCCTGCACCGGCTCACGCGGTTCCCTGCACAGCCCAGCCCTCCTCTGTCGGGGGGCGGCCTCCCCTGCCTCAGAGAGCTCTGTGTCCAACACCCGCCTTCTGGACTGCGTCCCCTCACCACCTGCTTCTTCCTGGGCCTTCAAGACCCCTCGCATGATGCCTCACGCCATGCACTATGCCCTCATCCCCCCCCTCCCAAAAGCGTTGTTTTTAGAACACAGATTTCTCCCCATTCACCCCACCCGCCCCCCACTCCCGCCCCCGTGTGGCCAGGGCACTGGCCTAGGAGAAGTTACCCCGCGTTTTTTGATGGCTTTGTTAAGCAGCTTCACCACGTCCGCTCCCTCCACTCCGCTCGCTTTAAACCGCTTCGTCCAGGTGATCAGAATGCCCTGCAAAGGAGAGCAGATGGGGTTGGACCGAGAAGGCTGGGAGGCCCCCAGAACCCCAGGCCCTGGGGGAGACTGCTCAAGGGCAGAGACAGAGCCGAGGCCCCGAGGACCGAGGGGCTGGCTCCAGGCACACTGGGTAACCGGGCCAGACCGTCCCGTTTCCTGGTTCTCTCGACCCGATGGCCACAAATATCATCACCTCATGTTCATGCCTACAAAGCTTCTAAAACAATGTAAGACGTGCAGCCTGGCCAGTGTGGCTCAGTTGGTTGAGCCCTGTCCCATGCACCAAGGAGTCGACGGCTCGATTCCCAGTCAGGGCACATGCCTGGGTTACGGGGTCAGTCCACAGTAGGGGGCGTGCAGGAGGCAGCTGGTCAATGGTTGCCTCTCACCCATGTTTTTTTCTCTCTCTCCCCCTCTCCAAGATCAATTTTAAAATGTATATATATATATATATATATATACATACATATATATACATATATATATATATGGCATGCAGACCATCCCATAAACAAAAGGGAAAAGTAGTCAAGAAAAGGGGTTCGTGAGCTTTTGCCCTCCGGGGCTTCTCTGCAGCCTGGGAATCCCAGAATGAACTTACCTCATCTATCTTGGACTGCCGACAAGGGAAGGAAAATGTGAGTCCCACAGGCAGTTTCTTGTCCTTGATGTGTTTTTTCTCCATGAAGTCTCCCAGGCACTCGGCGACATGGTCAAAAAGCTGGAGAAGGCAGAGGGCCGTCAGGAGGGAGAAAAGCAGCTCAGGGGAACCGTGGACGGCACGGCGCCGAGGCCCCGCGTGAAAAGCCGCAGCGAGTGGGAACGGCAGAGACCCGTCCCTTAGCACAGCCGGCCTGCGGGCCAGCCCGGCTGAGGTGGCGTGTCAAACCCTCCAGAGAGAACTGCCCTCTTAGCAATCCCTGCAAGGTATTATGCGGGTATTTAAAACATGAAAAACATTTTAAATAGTAAAACTCATAATTTCCTTGTAATTAAAAATAATAGAAAATCAGCTCATCCCTCTGTCATGTCACACAGTCTCCATCAGCCCCTTCTCAGAAGTCATCGCTCCGCCCTCCCTTTCCCCGGATGTCTCTATCCACCTACCTCCCTCTGCAAATCCCGGAAGCTCCACCAACAGCTCCGCAGTGGCTAGCGCCCCTGAGCGGTTCAGCCATCTGCAGACGGCCGTATTTATACTTTCCCCTGAAGCATCAGGGACATGCCAAGAAAAGGGCCCACGACCCAAGTGCCGAGCTTACCGGGTTCTCACAAGCTGTATGCACCTGTGTCACCAGGTATTAGATCCAAAAAGATGAAGAAACACACGCTATCAGCACAGACACCCCCCTGGAGGCCCCTCCAGTCACAGCCACCGCCACCAACCCCAGGGGGGCCCTCGCCAGCCGCCCTGACCTGTCTACCACTGGGCCTGCCTGTCTACCACGTGTGAATGGAGCGGCACGGAGCCCCCTTCGTGACATGTGTGAGTCAGCCGCCTGTGTGTGTCTCTGTAGCTGTTCGCACTCCCTGCCGCGTGGGATTAAGGGGTGAAGAGGCCCTATTTAGTGGACTGCGATTTAAGCTCGCCTGCTCCACCTCACACGGCCGGGGAGGTGCACACACAACGTAGGACAGACTACGGAGAGCCCGGAACAGTTTCCTGGCCTCTGCACCAAGTCCGTCGGTGATGGAGGCTCACCCCCCTCGAGGCAATCTTTTTGGATCCAATTCCTCCCTTCCTCCCTAAAAGGTACCCAGAACCGAAGCTACTGTTTCCTCTGTGTTCCGGCCAGCGTGCTTAGTGGAATGTATTTGAACTAAGAACTCCCCTTTTCCTTAACTCTGTGCTCCGCAGCCCAGGCATCAGCCCGCCCCATCTTCCTCACACGCCGTCAGAGCACCAGCCCTCCCTCGTGTGTGGGGCGGACACAGCCACAGGGCTTCCTGAGGCCGGAGGAAGGCCAGGCCACGCCACACAGGCACAGGCCAGGCCACGCCACACGGGCACAGGCGCAGACCCAGGCCTGCTCCAAACAAGGCCATCAGCCTGAAGGCTTTCCTTGCAGGGGTGCCCTTCAGAGGGGACCGGAAGTCATTACTCCTGTCTCCACCTTTCTCCAGATGCCCCAGGCCCAGCTCTGACGTCTGACTTATCTGCCAGGGTGGAGAAAACCCTGTCCGTGTGGATGCAGGAGCCCCTGTCCCGGCGTCGCTGGGAGTTAGGCTATGCCTGTCGCCTGCAGCCCCGGTGGGGAGACATGTGGCCACTTTCCCCGGAGGCCCGGCTAAGCTCCCCGTGATCTACTTCTCCGGGGGATCTAAGCCCACTGCGGAGTCCACCAGCACGCCTCCCCCACCTTCACCCACACACAGAGCAGGCTGGCAGGCTGCAGAGTGGATTCACATGAGTACTAAAAAAAAACAAAAAACAACTAAACACTTCTTAATTCAAAACTACCTAAATTAAGTAAGTGATGTCTTAGGATTGCATTCATGCTTCCAAAATTAAAGCCTACAATTGCATTGAAACTAGAGATACTGTGTGTGTGTGTGTGTGTGTGTGTGTGTGTGTGTGTAAAGAGAAAGGGAGGTTAAAGCAAATGGTTAGTTTAGCAATTTGGAAGTCTGGACCAAGGGTTAGATGGGAATTCTCTGTGCTTCTCTGAAAACTTTTCTGTACGTTCAATATTATTTCAAGCAAACGGTCTACAAACCTATTAAGAATTCCCACACACTTCAAAAAATGTTATCACAACACCGAGAACGCGTTACTGTTCAGAGTCTGTGAATCTCTGAGCTGCTTCATGGGCAAAACAAAGCCCTTAGTTTTTCTTAGTTTTTCCAGAATACTCTACAGGTCAATACGGGATCTCAGAAAAATGGACCACCCCGTAAGTTATTCCTAATTTCACACCAAACTTCTGCCACAGAGGTTCCTGATGCATCCCTGTTTTTCAGCTGGCAACCTTCTCCCTCATCCCCTGCACTTTACCGCCTTGCCCACAGCCCTCACATTTCCTCATCACCAAAAAATGTTTAAATCAATAAAAATAAGACAAAGACAAAGCCCAGACTGAGAGTGCTCCGTGCTGGTAAACGTGTAACATCTGGAGCCAGACCGCCTGAGTTCAAATCCCAGCTCTGTCACTTATCCAAGGGCTGGTTACTTAACATCAAGCCTCAATTTTCTCATCTGTGAAATGGGACTAGTAATACCTACCCAAGAGAGTTGTTGTGATGATTAAGTTAGTTAATCCACAGTAAGCGCTTAGTGACTTATATAGAACAAACGCTATGTATTTACTATAATACTACATTATCATCATCATCATCACCATCGTCTTTCTTCTTTGCAGACCGGCTGAGAAGGGCAGAGGAGAAAACTGACCGCAGGGAGGAAAGTGAGCCTGGGGCTGAGAAGATGGGGAAGGAGGCTGGCAGAAACGAGGTCCCAGAGGCAGCAGTTAGAACGAAGTCACTGTGGCCCAGCTGGTGGCTCAGTGGTCAAGCATCAACCCATGAACCAAAAGGTCAACGGCTCAATTCCCAGTCAGGGCACATGCCCAGATTGTGCCTTGACTCAATTCCCAGCAGGGGGCATATAGGAGGCAGCTCATCAATGTTTCTCTCTCATCATTGATATTTCTCTCTATCTCTTTCCCTTCCTCTCTCTCTAAAATAAAGAAAAAATATTTAAAAAAAAAAAAAAAAGGAAGAAGAAGGAGAAGGAGGAAGAGGAGGAGGAGGAGGAGGAGGAGGAGGAGGAGGAGGAGGAGGAGGAGGAGGAAGTGAACATGGCCAGTATGTACCTGTGGGACAGACACCCCCTTAATTTCCAAACCCTGCAAAGCACACGGGAATGTCGCAGCACAGGGGGACAGTCCCAGGGTGAAGGCAGCAGGCAGAGGTGGCTCAACACAAGAACCATGAGGACAGGGTGTGCCAGGTCAGTACTTGTTGCCAAATGGGAAGAGCAAGGATGCCAACCCAAGCCCGCTAGCACTGCGAGGCGGGGCTCGGAGCCCTACCAGTGAGCGGGGTTCATGCCACACGCCGGATGAAGGGGCCAGTTTCTAAGCAGGGAAACTCCAGACAACCCATGTCAGAGGCTGCCTGAACCACTGGTGGTTCCTCTGTTCCAACGACGGTGTCGCGGCCTGCAAAGCTCTTAACCAAAATCCTCAGGAGCAGGTGAAAGGCCTTTCTCAGATGGCAGAGAACTGCCCCAGGCCCCTCACGTTAATTTAGGAACAGAGTGGAGTCAAGAGGAGGTGGCTGCTGGGCCTCGTGGCGAAGTCCAGCCCAGAGCAAATGGGATTTCTGGAGAAATTAGTCATGGACCTTAGTGCGAACACACCCTCCCTCAAGCAAATATTTGGCGATCTCTGAATCCGTGTCTTGGATGGCAGCCATGACCCGGGAGGCGAGCTACAAACTGGAGGAGCCAGAACACCCACAGGAATAGGGGTTTACAGGACGCAGACATGGCTGGAAACCTGGCCAGGGACTGCCTGAACCCTGGGCACAGGGTCCTCAGCCAGGGACCCACCACTCACTGTAACCAGGCGGGCAGGAGAGGGCAGATGAGTCCTTCTTAGCATGAGCACGGGCATGGCCACGGCCCCCCCGCCAGCAAAGGCAGGTAGGCCTTCCAGGGGGGCGCCCTGAAGGGGGTGGGGCTCTGGTGATTTTCCACCTAAGCGCCTGCCCGATTTGCTTTCTGTGCCCGGGACTCACAGAGGCTATTAAATCCGGCGGCCAGAGTGCCTCGATTCGCCCTGGGGCTGCAAACGAAAATTCCTGCTGCCTCACGGGTGCCAGCCGCACCCTAGGGGGTGAGGTGGGTGAGGCGGCCAGTGACTTGGAAGAGGTGCTTTGACCCAAGGGCTCTGCCGAACCTGTGCTGAGGAAGAACCCCAGGATACTTGAGGAATGAATGCCTTTCTCCAACATTCATTGTTGGATAAAATTGCTGGGCCTCCCTCGTCACACTCCACGCCTGTGACAGTCCTGGAGCCCCATCCCCCGGTTCGCCCCGGCAGCGGGTCTCTGAAGGTCACGCCTTCCACCCCGGAGTCCCTCTCCACACGCATGCATGACGGGCTCCCTCCGGAGCTCAGGACACCCGTGCTGCGGGGCCGGGTCCCGGGGGCACCCACCTGGCTCCCGCTGCCGTGCATGATGCTCTCCGGCGTGTCGTACACCTCGGACTCCATCTGCACGTTCTGGTCCTTGTCTAGGCTCACTTGCACCCGCAGAATTCGGAAGAAAGACCCACCGAGGTCCAGGGCGATGAAGTCCCCCTTCTCTGTCCGGGGAGAAAGCAGGCGTTGAGTCAGATCCCAGTGGTAGGAAGGCCCCACACGTGTCCAGCCATCCCCTCCCGAGGCACGGCTCTTCCGGCCGGGCATCCTGAAAAGACTCACTGGAGTACAAAATCCCACCCCACCCTTCTCCAACTCCCGACCCTTTGTCAAAAACGGTGCCACTACCGGTACATTTCAACTCAGCAAAACCCTACCGCTGAGTTCGTCCCATAACTTGGGATCCTCCCATGGCAGCTCAGACAGGATTACAGCTAGGCCAGAACTCCGCTTATTCCCGAGGGGATTTTTATTATTATTATTATTATTACTGTGGTAAAATACACATAAAATTTGGCCTGGCCAGTGTGGCTCAGTGATTGAGCATGGACCTATTGAATCAGGAGGTTATGGTTCAATTCCCAGTCAGGATACAATGCCAAGTTGTGGGCTCGATCCCCAGTGTAGGACATGCAGAGGCAGCAGATCAGTGATTCTCATCATTGATATTTCTCTCTCTCTCTCTCTCATTCTCTCTCCCTTCCTCTCTGAAATCAATAAAAATATTGATTTAAAAACCTATGTAAAGATATATACATAAAATTTACTGTTGTAACCATTTTCAAGAGAACAATTCAATATACTCCCAATGTTCTGCAATCATCACCCCTATCTATTTCCAAAACTTTTCATCACCCCAAACAGAAACTTTATAACCATTAAGCAATAACTCCCCATTTCCTCTCCCTCTAGTCCCTGGTAGCCTCTATTCTACTTTCTGTCTCTATAACCTTGCCTATTCTAGATATTTCATGTAAGTGAAATCAGAGTATTTGTCCTTTGGAGTCTAGCTTATTTCATTTTGTATAAAAACTAAAGGTGCATCCGTGTTGTAGCATGTGTCAGGACTTCACTCCTTTTTGAGGCTGTATGTACATTTCACATTTTGTTATTCCATTCATCTGTCAGTGACACCTGGGTTATTCCCACCAACGGGTGTTTTTAACAGAAGCCGCTGTCGATCACATAAGAGTAAACTGGCCTCATATCATTGCATTCCTCAGGGCCAATGCGTGCAATCACTGGGGTGGCCTCAACAGCACAGAGAACGATGGTGGGACTGTATGCCGAGACCACCACAGAGCACCCAGGGTGGTGGCCACCGGCAGGATGCCTAACCATTAAGCCACCATCCAACATTACCTTATTTCTCATTAGTTACCCCCACACGTGCTCCCCGAAAATCAGTTAAACTCTGTTAATTTGCCCAGCCAGCGTGGTTCAGTGGTTGAGCATTGACCTATGAACCAAGTCATAGTGCAATTCCTGGTCAGGGCACGAACTTGTAAAGAATAAAAGATTTTAATTTTTATTAAATACAATTTATTTTTTTCTGTTTGTGATTTTGGTGTCATTCTCTATAAAGCCATTGCCAAATCCAAGCTCACAGATTCACACCTCTATTTCCTTCTAAGATTTTTATAGTTTAAGCTCATCATAACTTTTAAGTTAATTTGTTATGTGATATGAGATAAAGGTCCCATTTCATTCTTTTATATGTGGACTAGAGGCCTGGTGCACAAAATTCATGCACAGGGGGCGGGGGTCCCCTTCAGCCCAGCCTGCACCCTCTCCAATCCAGCACCCCTCAGGGGACATCCAGCTGCCCGTTAGGCCTGATCCCCATTTAGGCCAGCCTGATCGCCCCTAACTGCCCCCCACCACAGGCCTGATTGCCCCTCACTGCCTCTGTGTGCCAGCCTGGTGGTCCCTAACTGCCCCCTTCCCTGCCAGCCTGGTCATTCCTAACTGCCTGCCCCCCACTAGTCTGGTTACCCCTTAATGTCCCCCTCTGCCAGCCTGGTCACCCCTAACTCCGCCCCCCCCCACCCGCAGACTTGGTTGCCCCCAACTGGCACCCCCCACAGGCCTGCTTATAGGCAGTCATCTTGTGACGGTATGATGGTCAATTTGCATATTGCCTCTTTATTATATAGGCTAGATATCTCAGCATCGTTTTCTTTAGTGCAAATAATGAAAATCTGATCTGGTAAACAACTATAAACCACTTGTGCCGAAACCGGTTTGGCTCCGTGGATAGAGCGTCGGCTTGGGGACTGAAGGGACCCGGATTCGATTCCGGTCAAGGGCATGTACCTTGGTTGCGGGCATATCCCCAGTAGGGGGTGTGCAAGAGGCAGCTGATCGATGACTCTCTCTCATCGATGTTTCTAACTCTCTCTCTCTCTCCCTTCCTCTCTGTACAAAAATCAATAAAATATATTTTTAAAAAAACAAAAAACTATAAACCACTTGTGCATAGGGAAGTCATAGGCACAGAAGTGAATACCATGCTAGGATAAAATTATGAATGTTTTCATTTTGTTTCAATATTTTAAAAATTAATTTACTGTTTAATGTTTAAATAAATACTTTTTCATGTTTTACACTGGCTCTTCATCATAATTAAAATAAAATAAAATAGCCTAGGGAATATTCTGGTTGCCAGCCTGGTGGAAAGTGTCATTTTCAGTCGATTCAAAGCCCTCAGTAAAAAGTTCTTGGGCTCAAATCCCAGGTGACGGAGGCGGAACCTGCTTCGCGGTGTCCGTGCTGACAGCAGGAAGCGTTTCTGCCCCGCACACAGGAAGGGTCGGGCTTCACGCAGTGCCTTGGACCCAGGCCTAAAGGTTTCCGAGCATGGTGAGTGAAAACGACCACAGCTGCCTATGACCAGGAGGAGCCTGGCCTTAGGGTGCCTGGGGCTGGCCCGCACTTCTGCAGACCCCTCCCCGGCGCCGATGGCCGGTCCACCCCGGCTCGCTGCTGCTGTGTTTTCACCAGCCCAGGTCAGCGGGGAGCTGAGTCAGAAAAGGCAACCAGGAAGGGTGGCCTTGAGATGTCGGGACAATTCCGAGTCCCGGGCACTCCACGCACCGGGAAGTGGGGTGGATGCTGTGCGGGCGGCTTTCCCTGCAGGCAGTTCACACAGGGTCACGTCAGGCCCAGGGCAGCTCCTGGCCCTTCCTGAGCAGTGGCCCTCGTTCCAGGGCGTGTTCGTGCCCAAAGAATGGGCAGTTGGCACCTCTCCTGTGAATCACACTTGCAGCTCAGGAAACATGGGACAAACATTAACTCCCTTTCTCCGTTTAGGGATTAGGAAGCTCCAACCAAACCAGCCGAGTGACTGGCTCGTGGTCACACCTGTGGCAAGGCCGGGGCCCCTCCCTTTCTTAGTCACTTGCATTCTTGTAAATGCTGCGGTGCTCATTATTTTTTTATGAGTATACTAGGGGCCCAATGCAGAAACTCATGCATGGGTTCGGTCCCTAGGCCTGGCCAGCGATCAGAGCCAATCTGTGGGATGGCGCCGGTCCACTCACTAACCAGCCCGGTCCCCCCACTGACACCGGCTTGCCTGCCAGATCCACCCTCTGCCACCGCCACCGGTCACCGCCCTCTGCAGGGCAACCAGCGGAGTGATTGGGGGAGCCAGCTGGAACCTGCCTTGGCTGGCCTAGGGCCTGCAGGCTGGGGGCAGCTCCTGCATTGAGCATCTTCCCCCAGATGGTCACTGCATGTCATAGCGACTGGTCATTCCACCAGTCGTTCTGCTGTTCAGTCTATTTGCATATTAAACTTTTATTATAAAGGATGTCCTATTTTCCTTAGTTGGATGATAAGCAACTTGAAAAAAAGGGCAATTGAAGATGCCTCCTTCCCTCCCCCAGTACTGAGTCCTGCCCACAGCAGGCCATCAGCAAGGTTTGCTGCTAGTTCAGTAAGAACAGCCTGGGTCAGTCACATGGCTGTTCGGTCCCATTCTCTGCCACGCAAAGGACAAGGAAAGACCTCCAGTAAGGGCAACGTGGTATCTGGTAAACTTTGTTGCCTGTCTGTATCTCTTTAGGTAACTCCCTTCCCGTTTTATAGCTGAAGTTGGGGTAGAGCTGACACCGCCGCCACCCCCTGCCCTCCGCTTCAGGTCCAGGGGACCAATGTGTGACCCAGGAGCATCCAGAGTCACCCACCTTGCCACAAGGATTGGTTCCTTGTGGGCACATGACCCATGCCAGCCAATCGTCACCCTCTCCAAGACCATCCCTGGGATGGCCAGCTCTGAGGTGAAGTGTGGGCGGGGGCCGCAGGGCTGTGGAGAGGTGGCCTGAGCAAGAAGCCAACAGAGACTGAAAGAATATTAGCAGAATATGACTAGATTTCCCAGTTACATGAACCAGAAATGGCCGCCTTTGCTTATACAAACTGGAGTTAGATTTCTTTCAGAAAGCTACCTAGTTCAATTTTGTTTAATCCTCACCCAAGAATACCATATTTTCCGGTGTATAAGACAACCCTTTAATTTTACAGTTAAAACATAGGTTTAGGCTATATTCGCTGTATAAGACTACCCCCCACCTCCAAGGCAACACCAGTTTTTCAGGATATACTCGGCGTATAAGACAACCCCCTTCGTCTTATATGCCGGAAAATATGGTATGTTTATTGATTTTTTTTTTTTAGAGAGAGGGAAGGAAAAAGGGAGGGGGAGGGGGGAAAGGGACATCAATGTGAGAGAGAAATATTGATCAGTTGCCTCCCCTACACACCCTGACCAGGGATTGAACCCGCAACCTAGGTATGTGTCCTGACCAGACCTACGACCTTTTTGGTGTATGGGACAATGCTCCAACAAATCCAAGTTCAATATTCCTTATTGGGAATACATCCACCAAGTACTTGCCCTCATAACAAAGGGGTCTACGTCCCCCTTGCCCTCAGGTTGGCACCCAATTCAGACCTGTGGTGTCCCGTCAGCCCACTGCAGAGGCACCAGAGCTCCCTCTGTGGGCTCATCCACATATTGGGGCCATCGGAGTCGGGAGAGACAGCCTACCATTGCTTCCCCCTTACCCGCCTCTCCTGCCCACATCGGAAGGATGCCAGTGAATTCTGGAAAACCCTGGATCTTTCCTCCAAGGTTAGACATGCACATTTGGTGGGGCCTCTGACTCATCCCAAAGATTGGTAGGGCCTTCCCAAAAAATTCTTACACGGTCAGTTATTAAATTCCAATCATGAAGCGGAAGACCATGGCCCACGGTCACTCTCATGGTGGTTTGCAGTTTCCACAGCACTTTTGCTTGGTCCTCTGGACAGCCTGAGGCAGGCAGGGCAAGGATTCTCGCGCCCATTTTACAGATGGGGAAATGGAGGCTTAGGAAAGTTAGCTGTCTTCTCCGAGGTCACATGGGTAATGAGCAGCAGAGCCAGAGATTAACCCAGTGTTCTAGGCTTTTATTGTATCTATTTTCTTTCCATTCTGGCCTCTTTTTTGTAGTGGCGGGCTTTTCCTCCGACTTCCTCTTCAAATCCTGGGCCTCGACCTTCCTTCCTGCTGCTGGTGCCTCCAGCTTACGCCTTCTCCCCATATTTCCCATCTCCACCGAAGCTCGGAGAACGGCTCTTCTAGAGGAAGCTCATTAAACGAAGCATCTGAAGGGCCCCTGGCAACTCTCCACCCTCTAATGACAGCCATTATTACCGGCGAATAATAGAAAGCAAACACGGGACAGATGTCACTCTTGAGTCCGGGCCTGTGCTGGGATACAGGGCAAACAGAAACAGCGCCTTCGTGAAATGCCTGCCTTGGCCTTGCTCAGCGAATTAACTCTGAGACACGAAGGCTTTCCCTCCTGTCTGCAATCCAGAAACCTGATGAGTGAAAAACCAACTAGAACGTGGGCATTCCGGAGATGTCACAGGTGGAAAGGACTTAGAGATCATCCAACCGTCTTCTCAAATAAAGAAACTGAGTCAGACACCGATAAGTGTCCAGCCCAAATGAAAAGAAAGTAAACATTTCCCTCCCTTTGGCTAGACAGTAGTACTCTGTATAGAGTGAGTTCAAAAAATTAACAGTGAAAGAAAAAGAACGAACAGTGACTGCACTACAAATCAAATGTTTTTTTTTTAATTATCCTTTTGGATAGAGTGTGCTAGGAACCATGAAGCTAAAACAAAGAAATATCCAACTCAATCTGCCCTCAATAGCTTACAATATAACTGGTATTTATAATATTCTTAAGGATAAATGAGAAGAGAAGAAAAAAAGGAAAAGGCTTTACAAATGAAGCAGAGTGACCAGGGTCTCGGGAAGGAGACTTCTGTTCAGCCACGTCACCAGAGTAACAAGGCTTCTATCTTCCTTCTTTTATTTATTATCCACACCTTTCCTATCCCAAGAAGGACATGCAGCCGCTCAAAGCCACCTTAGGGTTTACCATTTTTTAATGTATAGATTACTGAAGAGCTATTAAAGAAAAGCCACTACCCATAAGAAAATGTCCAAAGATTAAAAATAATAATAAAAACGGGCCAATACAGTTACAAAAAAAAATTAGTAATTTTCCAAACTCTGAGCCCAGCCCACCAGGGGAAGGTGGGCGGAAAAGGAACGGTTAGATGCCCCCTGTCCGTGGAGGTCACATCGCCGCTGGAGGGCAGGAGCACATCTCCGCGGGGCGCGTCCAGCCTGTCCTTCCGTGGTTTGGGGCTGCCGCTAATTCTGCTGCTCACTAATTAATTACACAGTTGAAGCAGTAATTAATACTCCAGAAAGGGAACAGCACCATGGTTTACTACGAAGGAGACCAGCATTCTGACGGCGCCAAGGGACCTGCTTGGTTCTTGGTTGCTAAGCAAGCAGGGGAGGGAAGGAGAAGCACCTCTGTCACTAAGGGCAGGGACTGGGCACGGGTCAGGTCTCCGAGGCCTGGGCATCAATGTCAATGTCAGGGTGGGGCTGTCAGGGCCATTCCAAAAAGAGTGTGGGCCCCAGGGCACCTGAACTGAACCCGCCCCCCATGAACAATAGGCACAGCCACAGGGAGAAAGGCTATAGGGTGTTCGGCTGCACTGTTGAAGCCCTAAGCCGTACTCCTGAAAACATGGCCTTATGTGGAAGCAGGGTCCTTGCAGAAGTAATCAAGTTAAGATGAGGTCCTCAGTGTGGGTCTCCTCTGACCGGTATCCTTAGGGGAGGAAAATGCCATGTGAAGTCAGAGGCGCGCAGGGAGAGCACCGTGTGGTGACAGAGACAGACGGAAGACACAGTGTAAGCCAAGGAACACCAGACCACCAGCAGAAGCTAAAAGAGGCCAGAAGTGCCTACCCGGAGCCTCAGAGGGAGCCTGGCCCGGCTGACACCCTGATTTTGGACTTGTAGCTTCCAGAACTGTGAAACAGTGTGTTCTTGTTATGAAAAGCCACCAGCGCATCCTAGGGCAGCCTTGGAGGCCAATACAAGGCAAAAGGGTCAGCAGGTGAGGGTGGGGGTGGGAGGCGAAGAGCACGGAGGACAGGGGAGCAGACCCAGGCTCTCTGCACAGCACGTGGGTCCTTGCACATCAGGGTTTTGGTTTCACCTCCTCCCTCTCCTTCTGTTTCATGTGTGCCTGGAGCACAGCCCGCCGGTGGCCACCGAGCGCATGCTCTTCCTTCTCATGGGAGCCCTCCGGGCTTCTAAAGGCTGCTCAGGCACTGCAGGACCTCCCCCAGCCCTGCCCTTGCCGTCTTTTGTGCACATCAGCTGCCACCGCTGCGGTTTCCCGACATCCACTTTGCAGGCTGCATGCCAGCCGTCCCAAATCCCAGCTTCCCAGGAGCCTCCGGAGCAGGGAATGAGGGCCGGGCTCTCGGGGCGTGTACCCCAAACCCCAGGAGAAACGTGACTTCCTTCTTCCTTCTCTCACTTACAGCTGAGTCCCAGCCCCGAGCACAGGACACAGCTCAGAGCGGGATTCCCGCCCAGACTGGGCAGGCACAGCACCCGCCCCTGCAAACTACAAACTGCGGGCCAGCTGGGCAGAACAGCCTCCGGGAGCAGGCCAGGCTGTGCCCGCTCAGCGACCATCCTGCCGAGTGCAGGGGCTGAGTCCCCCAATACCCCCACCTCCCTCCCCACTGTGGGCCATGCACCATACAGACACACTAACAGGATCATTTCTTTCTTCCATTCCATCACCCCTGGCCTTTGCCTGCCTTGGGGCTACCTTGATTTAGCATCTAAACCATTTGTTCAGATGGGGACTCGAATCTCCCCTCTGAGTGGGAGGCCCACCAGTCACCAGGATTGCTCCTGGTTTGAAGGGAGGCCTTGATGCCCTGATGGAGAGATTCTCCTAAAATGAACTCTTCTTTTCTTCTGGAGCCTTTCATGTGCTGGTGACAAGCATGTCTAAGATCTTACACAGCATCTGTAAGACCCACAAATACCACCCTTTCTGATCACAAGCTACTACCCCGTTTCCCCGAAAATAAGACAGTGTCTTATATTAATTTTTGCTCCCAAAGATGCGCTAGGTCTTATTTTCAGGGGATGTCTTATTTTTCTATGCACTAGGTCTTATTTTCAGAGGATGTCTTATTTTCGGGGAAACACAGTAGACAGTCAGGCCAATGAGGGCAGGTCAGCCTTGTAGATGCTCCATAGACCTATGATGGATGGATGGATGGATGGATGGATGAACAGACAGATGGATGAAATGGTAAATGAATGAATGAGTGAGTGAGTGAATGAACGAACAAATAAATGAAAGTTGGAATGATGTTTCACAGAGCATTCAGCCCTTGGGGCCAATCTCTGGCTGAGAGACTCACCTGAACCGTCAGGAATGGACCTTACAAACGTTGGCAACATCTTGACTGTGGCTGTCGGATTAAAATCCCGGGAAAGACCATGCCTCATCTCCTTCTTGAAACGAGTCATGATATCTATCAGCATTTCGTCGGAGAGCCGCATGGCATAGAGATACTTGTCAATCTGGGGGAAGGAGGAGAAGGAAGGAGAGTGAGGCCAAGGCTGAGGAAGGTCATTTCAGTTCAGGTTTGACGGAGGGAGGACAGGGCACGTGAGGTGCCCACCTGTCCAAGATAAGCCAACGCCCACGGGCACCTGACCAGCCAGGCTGGCACATCACAAGATGGGAAGTCATCAAATGCCATCAACCAGGTCACTCGGAGCATGCTTGCAAATGCCCTGAGCCCTAGTTTCTCTCCTGTAAAATGAACCAAATTATCTCCAAGGTCCCTTTCAAGCCTCAAATATTACATGGAAGCTGCCATTTGACCACCTCCACCCCCCAAAAAAGACATATAAGAGGCACCTTAAGCCTCCACACAACCCCTTCCCTCTATGACCAGTGGCTGGCCCATCCTCATGTGAATGGCAGTGCTACAGAGGTTAGGAGTGAGAGCTCCAGGGCCAGACACCTGGATTCAAATCCCAGCCCCATCACTTAGCAGGTGTGTGAATTTCAGGTTCCTCCACTGGAAAAGTAAGACATTAAATAGGACCTAATACTCAGAGAATGTTGTAAGATCCAATGAGAGAAAAGCACTAAAACACAGAAGGTGTTTGAAAAATATCACCAATTATTACTAACACCAGAGGCCTGGTGCATGAAATTCATGCGGGGGGGGGGGGGGGGGGAGGGTGTCCCTCAGCCCAGCCTGCACCCTCTCCAATCTGGGACCCCTCGAAGAATGTCCTACTGCCGGTTTACAGGGGTTGGGCCTAAACCGGCAGTTGGACATCCCTCTTGTGACCTGGGACTGCTGGTTCCTAACCGCTCGCCTGACTGCCTGGCTGATTGCCCCTAACCACTCTGTCTGCCAGCCTGCTCGCCCCCAATTGCCCCTCGTGCCAGTGTGCTCACCCCCAACTGCCCCCCCTGCTGTCCTGCTCACCCCCAACTGGCCCTCCTGCTGGTCTGCTCACCCCCAATTGCCCCCCCATAGGCCTGATCACCCCCAATGCCCCCCCCCTCACAACTACCTTCCTGATCACCCACAACTACCCTCCCCTCTTGGCCTCTAACTGCCTCTACCTCAGCCCCGCCACCATGGCTTTGTCCAGAAGAACATCAGGAAGTCTCCTGGAAGGTCTCCCAGTCTAATTAGCATAGTATCCTTTTATTAGTGTAGATAAGACAGTGGTGCTGATGGTTTCCATGGGTGTGATTTCTAAGTCGGTGGAAACAGGACCAAAGGGGCAGTAGGCCCATAACAGAGACCTTAACCTAATCCTTCAGAACCTGGGGCAGTAGGCCCAGAGCAGAGACCTTAACCCCACCAACCCCAGAAGATACAAACCCCAGAAGATACAGAAACAGCCCCCACCCCAGGCTCCCATGCCTGTGTACCGGGGCCCTCCACATTGTGACCAAGCTTCCAAGTCATTCAATATCCTTACTGACCCCACCTGCTCGTCCTCCTGGTTCCCCCTGTTCCTCCAGGTTCCCAGGCTCCTGACCTCAGGCTCCCTGGATTGGATTGTCACTGGTGGTTCTTTCTTCATAGTCTCTTCCCATTTATTCTCTCAAAAAGCATTTGCTGGGCACGTGCTGTGCGGCTGGCTCTGGGCTAGACACCCATCCGCATGGTGCCTGTCCGCGTGGAGTTCACCAGAAGTCATTTTGAGACATTCATTTTTTTGCCACTCCTGCGTGGGTTACTGATTTCTGATTACCCACTCATTCACTGTGATAGTTTTCCATTTTCAATCCCTCAACCTTCCAATGAATCCTCTTATACCCTGCCACCTTCACCTTCTTAAACTGCAACCCTGGTCAGTGCACTCCCCTGCTCACAGCCTTGCAATGCCTCCCCGTGTCTGAGGCACCTGTGCTCGGTGGGTGTGGCTCCGTGCTCTGAACTCCAGCCCCACTACCTCTGCCATTCCCGGCGGGTGCTGGGCTTTCCTACCTAAATGCCCTTCCTTCTCTTCCCAAATCTCACCTGCCCTTCCACGTTCAGATCAAATGTCCCCTCCTGCGTCCCTCAGGTTAGAGATAACCCCTCCCTCAGCACTGACGTCTGCCCAGGCTCTAGCCTGGATCACAGCTCTCTGCATGGATCACCTGGACAGTGTCTGCTCCGGTCACCTCGACAGCCCAGGCCTGGCAGGCAGCCTTGCACACAGAAGGCTCCTGGTGCACAGAGAGGATTTATGACCCAGGGAGGCTGAAAAGACCTTGATCTGATTTGCTTGGCATCTCACGCTCACTTTTCAGGGTGACTGGAAACGTCCTGATCCAAGGACTCAGCGTCTCCGGTCCTAGGTCACCTCTGCATATTTTACTCCCGGGCAGCCTTCCTGCTCTGGTCTCTACGCCTGTGCTCTCCCGGGCCCTGCCTGCGCCTGCCTCACTGACAATCCAGGCACTGGCCAAAGTTCTCCGGGGTCCTCCGTGGCCAGAGACAATCCTGCCCCCACACCCAACCCCTTCTATCACACCCCCACCTCTCCTTTCCCCTTCGTGGCAAAGCACTGCAAAGAAGGGCAATCAGAAACCACCGAGAGCTGAGCTAGAAATGACCAGGACCGCAGCCCTACGAAGAGATGTGCTGTGTTCTGCCCCCAGGTCAGCAGCACCGGATCAGCAGTCCTTGCCACATGGCAGCCACAGGCAGCCACTGCCGAGTGAGAGCCAGAGAAGGCTCTGGGAAGGCTGATGGCAGGTGCATCCAGGCACAGCCAGAGCGTGTGGGAAGGCCGACGGCGAGGGAGGGTGGTGTGTGCAACGAACAGAAATAAATTCCCTGTGGACCGAGCACACGGCGTAAGTGGGGCAACGGGAAAGAGTAAATCGTGCAGGGCTGCTGCAGAAGCCACATACACAACTTTAGATTAACCCCAACGCACGGCAGCCTTGGAGCGACTCGAATGAGACTGTGCTACGAACAGATCGAGCTGTGTGTGGGGGGCAGAGGACGGGCGGGCCGGAGCAGGTCCGTGCACGAACAGTCACGTGGCCACTCCAGCATGGTGGGCAGGCTTCGGCCGCCGCTCCCCTCACCCCACAATATGATGATCCATACTCCGACTTGTCCATCTCGTCGGATACCCTGTGATTCCCTCAGGGAAAGGAAACCTCACCCAGACCTTTGGGGCTCACCCACTGCCTCGCACAAAATAGGAATTCAATCAATATCGGATGTTGGAACAGAACTCTATCATTACATGGTGGTCTACAGGTGATGTCACATCTGGTGTGCCATTCAACGTTCAGAACGACCCTGTCGGCGAGACGTGTACCCTCTCTTTGGCCTCCTTTCTTTCCCACATCTCTCTGGAAACGAGAAACGGTACAAAACGAGGAACGGCAGAAACTGAGGTTCCAAGAAGCTAAGTGACGAGTTCAAAACACGCGGCCGGAAGTCAGGCCTCCTGCCTGCACGCCTAGTGCTGCTTTAACCATCATGCCATCCCCAAGGGAAGGCCCGTCTCCTATGCCGTGGAGGGCAGGCCCAAGTAAAGCTGCTGCGGTTTTCCAGCTGGAGAGAGAGAAGCTTCTAGAAAAGGCAGGGCTCTCCATTTTCCATCCTGACTCTTGGCTCTAGGTGCAGCCTGGCACAGGAACCCTGATCTGAAAATCCTGGCGCTGTGGGACAGCCGAGCCAAACGCCAGCAGCCTAGACGCTCCAATCAGAAAGCAGGCTGGGAACAGAGGCACCTGCCCCCTCTGGTTCAGGTTCATGGACCATCATGTGGTACAAGCCCTCTCCAAGGAGATGCGGGAAATGAGGCCACAAGGGCACAAGTTGGGGCAGAGCTGGCACTGACCCTGAAGCCACCTGGGTGTCATGTGAATGAGGATAAGCCGAGAGGAGCCCTTTCCACTGGTCACAGTGGAGACCCTGGGGCTGTGGCTGGCCAAGTTCCCCCACCCTGTGCACCTCACCGCACAAGGGGCCCCTTTCCCCTCACGCAGACCAGCTGTGGCTGCCGCTGGCGGGGCTGCCCCTGGCCGGGCGGCTGCTGTCCACCCGGGCTGGGACTGGGGACGGCTGGTGGTGGAAGGAGGTAGGAGAGAAGGGTGTCCGGAAGGCCACCCTGCCCGTCTCCTCCAGATCTGGGTGAGGCTGTCTCTGCAGGAAACCCTGTAACAGAACTGCTATTTCTGTTTACCGAGGGCGGGGCCAAAGCCCAGGAGGGGTGAGACAGCAGAGGGTTCAGACCTGGAAAAGGAGGATGTCTGGGTCTTGGGACGTTGGGCAAAGCCTGTGGCCCTTCCAACTTTTCTTTTTCTGCCCCCTCTCCGTGCCCCTGCAGGTCTTCCCCGCCTCCTCGCTCACACTCCACCTCCACAGCCCGCCTCTCCTCTCAGGATCGCCCTCCACTGCTCTGGCCGGACACAGAGCCCAACCACCCCTCCTGTGCCTCCCCCCTCCCCCCCCCCCCCGACATTTTGACGGCCAGAGGGCACAGCACCCCTTCTGGCGGCTTCAGGCAGCCAGCCCAGTCCTGGGGACATCTGTCATAGGATGGGGACCCAGGCGTCCAGGCCCCCGGGTGCCCACCCTGGCACACAAGCGCGCAGGATGCTGGTCAGGCTGGGAAGGAAACGGGAGGTGCCAGAACCTCATACCACAAGCCCAGCCGAGTCCTGCAGACTCTCTGCCAAGACTGACGAGGACCCTGGGGCACCTCCAGAGCCCCTTTCACCCGAAGGGACAAACCCTCCTCCTGAGGGCGAGAGCCCGGTCGGCTGCACGGGGTAGACACTCGCCCCGACACTAAGCAAGCACTTGTCCCGGGCTGTCCTTCCTGCAGACCCAGAGGCTCGAGCTCTGCAGCCCCAGAGGCAGCTCGGGCGACGTCCAAAGGGAGAACGTAGCCTCCTCAAGGGCCTGGCCCGGGGCCGTCAGCTGGTGAGCACACAGCGGCCACGCACAGGACTAAACACCCCCAGTTCTGTGCTCGACCCCATGCCCCTCCTGCTCCCAACAGAACGCGCACAAAATCTCAATTCAAGACCG